TATCTAGCCTTGCTCCGCTGGCAGTAGTAGTTCCTTTGGGATGAAGTTCTGGAGACGTTGGTAAGAGAGCTGGCTCAGTATAAACGTTTCTACATTTAGCCTCACGTAGTAGATCTGCTTCGGTTTCTACAAGCACTGTATGTCTAAAGGAAACATATGCATACCCTCCTTTTTTACAAGAAAGGGCATGATCGACGGAATTTCTTTCTCTACACACACAGTGTTTAGCAATATCTTGTATAGGCCAGCCATATCGCAAACATATACCATCTCTAAAGTCCTTCTTTATTTCAATTCTTCAATGTTTTGATCATTTCTTTCCCGGATTTGGTGAGGTTACTGGATGCAGTGTAAACTTCCTGTTGGTCCACTATTGCTTTTGTTAGCTCGCTGGTGAGTAGCTTGGAGGCTGTGTACTCAGAGTGGCATTCTTCGTGGGGTCTACCTATCCTCCCAGTCTTATTGGTAGACTTAACACGTCTCTTTCTAAGTTTGAGATCTCCCTGCCCAGCATCTTTGGCAGAAGCTTTAGGCGTATCTCATGTTCTAACTTCTAGCAGCTCCATGTCGGGCACAGTCCTTTGAAGAAACTTCCATCTGTGTTGGATGCCAGAGATGTAGGCTGAGTAAGCTGCTTGAGACAAAATTTCAGAAGCATAATAATTTATGGGAAAATGTCGGTCGTTCACGCAGTACAGGCCGTTAACACTGCAATGCCGATAACGGAGAGTTCCCAAAACCGCACGCTCATGATCGAGCGCGCGATGGTCTTAAACTTGCACTCTAAAGGGGAAAGGTTTACGTGCTTCGGAGATACGCTTAACAAACACTTTTGTATAATCTCCTGCACTTAGCTCAGTCAAATGATCCAGAAATCCAAATTTTATTTTACTGAAATAAAATTTAACAAACGGCCTCATGGGCATTTTGTGCTCGAAGGCTAATGACCCCAGTGCAAATACAACAAACAATTTTTGGCTAGTAAGGTTTAAAAACCAGGGTAGAAAATAAAATTCTTTGTAATATATAATAATCAATAATGTAACAATATATTTGGCTTACAAAATTAAAAATTTTTATCAAATTAATTCTATTTTGTTACCTGGGGACCCCAGGCTATTATGTTCATGAAGATTCGGTGGAATGACAGGCTGAGCGCCGCCCAGTAACTATTTTGTTGTATCACGTGGTGACCCCCACGGTCGCTACAGGGGGAGCCGCGCACTTCGTGCGCGGCGAGTCATACAACGTTTGACCATTGTTAATGATCTGACCCGGTGCGCGCTACTTCGTAGCTCTTGCCATCGGGCGATTTCGAGAAGAAAGCGGCGCGCGCTACTTCGAAGAAATTTAGACGAGTAACATCCGTCAAATACAACGTATGACAACTATTTTGTTGGTATATCGATAAAATTTGCAATTTGCATTGATTCACGATGTCAATCCTTCGCAGCTCGGTGAGGCCCAGTGGTGCAATGTGCATGTTGCTGATCTACCGAAGAGAATAATTATTTGATGCGCGGCCCAGAAGTGCATCTTAACGGGTGATACTCGTAAAATATTTGTTCCACCGTCGACGAGTCCAACTCGGTGCGCGGCGCGTCCTGGTAGGTTGTAAACTTACAAGCACTACTTTGAAGTAATTTAGACGAGTATCATCCGTCAAGTATTTGATTGACGATGTCACTCACTCACTCATGTGATTGTAGCGCGATGTGTTACTGTGTTGCGCTGCGCACTCAATGAGGCTTCTCACAGCTAGATCGGCGAAATGCGCTACTGTGCCGCGCCGAGCTGCCATGAATTGACATCGTCAATTAATCATGTGAATACTTCGAATAGCAGTTCGGCGTTGCTCACTACACAATTATGCATCGCGCTGATATAACAAAGTGGTTGTGAGCATGCAAGCAACATTTTGAGGACTTCGCCGCTTCGACGCGCCGCGCGAACTAGCTTTCTTGCTTCGTATCGATCGGTGCTTTGCTTGGGGGCGCCAAATCGTCGTTTGAATGTGGGAAAATTTCGAAAACTTAACTAAAGTACTAGCAAAACTGCGCGTTTTGCTCTTGATATACACTTTTTTAGAGATTTTCGGTGTATCCTCTAAAATCACCTAATTTGTTCAAATTTAGGGAGGGGCACCAAAAGGGGAGGGGGCTGTTTATGCAACTTGAGCCCTTTGGCTAGAGAATACTTTCTTAGATATTTTTGACAGTTTTTAATATTGGTAATGTTAATGAATTGTAATTAATTAATATTATAATCCAATATTCATTTCTTTTTCTCCCTTAAATTTAAACCCCAACTTAGACATTTAGCCATGATTTAGTATTGAACACCCAAAATACTTACCGTCCTTAATAATCGTAAAGACCATTTGTTACAAAATAGCTGCGAGAATAATGCATGCCAAATATTCCCTCTTACACCCACAAATTATAATGCCTTCCTATCAAGTATCAACGCCTCTAATTTGGTCACTAATCAACCAGACTAGCGTTCTGGTGTGTACAAAAGCTACCAGCCAGTACATTCCTTGCCCCGCTAGTTGATTGTCAAAAAATCATACAGCTCAGAACGAACGGCCATTTACCACTAAGAGCATTATATGTTTTCATTTGTTTAAATTTTATGCTGTAAAATGTGCTAAAACTTTGATTATTTGTTTAATTGATTATTTGTTTAATTGATTAATTGTGGCCATTTTTCATTTTTATGCAACTTATACTGCAATACCATTTTTTTCCATTAGTTGTTTGTAATGCAGCTAACCATAGAAGTGTATCTGATGATATTTTAGAACTTGAAATTTGGGAGAGTATTTGGCACTTAAACTTCAATCCTGCCAAGTGTAAAGTAGTCCATATTAATCTGAATAATAATCCTAACTCGAATTATATTGTAAATGGAGTAGAACTACAAGTATCTGCACAGGAAAAAGATTTGGGGGTTATTACCCATAGCTCCTTGCTTTGGAATGAACAGATAAAAGCATGTATTTCTAAAGCAAATCGTATGATCTGCTGGATTGTAAGGAATTTAGTTATTAGAGAAAAGGTTGTAATGATAGCTATTTATAAAGCTTTGATAAGACCTCATCTCAAAAGAAGTAAGATTATTCAAACAATATACACATAATATAACAATTACCCTATATAAAAATTCAATATAAATTCAATAGAAAACTGAATAAACACCCTTTAAGTAGTATAAGTAAGCCAGTTTAAAGAACTGGCTCCAAATTTATATCTAATTCTGCTATTTTTACTGTACTACTACTTTTTAACCCTCTCTCTCCTCTAAGAGCTATGACTGTTGTTCTCAAAAGGTCAAATCTTACTCTCTTCCTAATAAATGTCATTGCCTCACTATATCGTTGGCCTGATTTCCTAGAAAGTTTATCCGCTAATTTCTTGAAGAACTTATTAGCTTCCCTTCCCATACCCCCAGTGGTTGAAAGGACTATCGGTGTATTGTGTCCAATTGTGGAATCCAGTTGCGGCTCATGGAAGTTGGGGGACTGTTTTGGAGCTGGAGAGCGTCCAGAGGCGGTTTACCCGTCTTATTGATGAGGTGGGTACTCTTCCATACAGCTGCAGACTGGATATCCTCAATTTGACAACGCTGGCAGAGCGGCAAATACGTGGGGACCTTATCGAAGCTTTTAAAGTAACTAGTGGTTTGACTGAATATGGATCGGGTTTGTTCAGAATGAGCAGATCTGGTCTTAATCTAGTTTCAACCAATAGGTGTAATAAGAGTGTAACTAAAGTTAAGAATCTCCAGTCTTCTTTTCTTCTGGAGCGAGTCATTCAATATGTATTGATTCTTCTGTGGAAAATAAAAATTGTATTTTACTTACATTCCTTACTGGAACAACCTCCCTTCAGATGTCAAGAACTGCTCGACAGTTTTAAACTTTAAAGTTAGATTGGAAGGATTTAAGAAAGAAATGATTTCTAAAAACAGTGTAAATGATTTTTATTTTTGGAATGTATCGAATGAAGTTTTAGGGAAAATTGAAGGACCCAGTTATTTAAGCAATAAGGAGACACATAATGAATATCTTTGGTTTCATCCTTTTGTGGCAAAGAAGCGTTTTATAAATCTTTATTCCACTGGGAAGTATTAATGAATTATTTATAGATAATGTATTAGATTTTATTAATTAATAAAATTGAATTTGATAAATTATTAATGTTGATGGAAAAATATATTTATTTAAATTATTTTTTTATTTAGTGCACAATGATATTTTGTAGACACTTGTGATGATGTTATGTCATAATCTTTACTACTTACTTACTTACTTACTTACTTACTTACTTACTTACTTACTTACTTACTTACTTACTTACTTACTTGTGTATCAAAATAATGTCAGTGTTATTTTACATGACTAAAATCTAACGCTTGACTCTCATATGTTATATTAATTAATTGAATTCCCAAAAAAAAATTGTGTCGACCAAATTCAACTCCCAGAATATTAGGGCTCTAACTCATTCAGTAGCTGCATGACAATCATGGATCCATCCTGTCTACAGCTGCATGATCTAGTCTGTAGTCAGCTTATGGGATTGGCTTATGGCTCATCGCCTAATTAATTGATTATGTGCCTGGTACATGCTGTATCATATTGAATATCACTGGCACACTAAAAGGGACTACTTCTAATCCTGAATATCATCAATAACTTGATGTCATTGCTCCAGCCTGTAGGTTCAGTTCAGTAGTACAGGGCCACAGCTCACATATCAATTGATTGGAGCCCCACAACCAAACCAAAAGGAATACAAATTTAAGGAATACAACAAACCAAATATAGTACAGAACCAAACATAGAATAGAACCTTCAGAGGTCCAGTACTGATATTAATGAGAACAAGTTGTGACCTTTAAGCACTGGCCATCAATTGGCAGAACAATGAATCGACTTAAATCAAACAATAAAGTGACTAAAATCATCAAGCTGTTTTAACATCTCTCTCTATTCTCAGGTTGAACGAACTCATTATGTCATCATTTAAAAATGCTGCCCAAGCCCAAAGAAGAACTCACCGTGAACGGAGTCAGCCTGCCCATCGTAAGAAATTTGGTCTGTTGGAGAAACATAAGGATTACATTGTGAGAGCGAAAGATTTCAATAAGAAGAAGAAGATAGTTAAGCAGCTACGTACAATTGCTGATGACAAGAACCCTGATGAGTATTACAGAGGGATGATAAAGTCAGGGACAGTGGATGGAAAACACAAGACTGAGAAAGACAACTCCTTGTCAGCTGAAGCTTTGAAGTTGTTCAAAACCCAGGACGCCAACTATCTCCAAGTAAAACTCCAAGCAGAAAAACAGAAAATTTTAAAACTTCAGAACGTGTTACATGACACAAGACACGAGAAAGTGAATAGTCACACTATCTTTGTAGACTCAGACTCTGAACTTGAATCATTTAATCCAGAAGAATTCGAGGCTCCAGTAAAAAGAGAGCAGCAACCCTCAGAGGTTCACAAAGCATTGTGTAAGATGAAAAAGCAGCAGTATTCCTTGCTACGCTTGAGAGTGGAGCGTGCTGAGTCCCTAGGCCAAGCTGCTGCCAAACTTAAGGTTAGATGTAAAAACTAATGGATAAATATTTGTATGTTTATAGATAGATTGAGAGTTGAGTAGCATTGAAGCAGGAAGTACTTTGAATGTATTTCAAATTATACAGACTTGAACATTTTTTAGGTGATCTGTAGGGTCAGTTCAATATAAACTTATAATGTGTGAGTAGATATTAGATATTAGCAGCTCAGCCTTGTATTTCACTAATAAATTATATATCAAAAATATTAATTAATCAATCTTTCAGCTGCAAAGAACAATAGCAGCCTCAAAAGGAAGTGTAAAGAAAACAGTTGACGAAGAAACTGGCACTGTCACCTACAAATGGAGGAAACAAAGAGCTAGGTAAAATTTACTATTTATTTTAGACAATCAGTACCTCAGGGCAGGGCTAACCTCTATTTTAGGTTTAATTTATTTTAAATTATTATCAGAAAAGGCTAGAGGCTTATGATTTTCGATTAGCTTACCTTTTTTAATTTATAAACAGGGCTGAAGTGTCTTTTATTGCTTTCAGTATATTTGACTTACTTATTGCATATTATATGATAACGATTTTATAAAAGTTGAACTGAGCTGAATTGAATGTTCTTCCTTTTTTCTGTGGACACATTTTTTATATTTTAAGCAATAGTTGCAGCATCTTACGCTTACCAAGTAACTACTTGACAGTTTTTTTATTATGTACATGAACTGTCAGATGGGTGCACCTCGTAGGGAATATTTAAAATATTTAATCAATTAAAAGACCTGCAATTGCAATTGAAATCTTGAACGAGAGTGCTTAGCTGGATTGAAAGATAATTTAAAAATCAAATTCTTAGCTTTTCGCTGTTTTACATTGTTTCATGTACTTTGTTGTCTCCTTATTCCAGATCTCAAACAGCTCATGTTAAATAAACTTATATCAGCTGGCCAATTTGCTCGTTAATAAAAATAAATCCTGATGAACTTGCAAAGTGGTAATTAGCAAGTTACACCTCACTATTGAATGCTACAATATATCTTCAAGTAGTCTCCACAGTCCATATAACTAGCTGAAATTAGTTGAAACGTCAGAGAATATTTGATTATTTTGCGATCAGTAAGCTCAATAAGTTAATTATCTTAATAAGATTATAAACTGAATACCAGACTATACCACTTTCACGCTCATTATGTTATAGTAGCTAACCACTTCAAGTTATATTGTCCTTATAAGGACTTGTCAGATTTCGTTACGGTTTTTACATATGAAAATCAATTGAACTATACAACATTGATACAGCACTTTCATTAATAAAATTAAAAATCCCGCTCAACCAGTCTACTAAGCTACTATACTATAAGCTACTAAGCCACTACAGTAAAACCTCAATTGAACGAGTTTGGGGAAAGGATACATCCGTGGTAAATCGGGGTTTTGATTGTTTACATTTAAATGCGTGTTAACTGTTAAGGGGGCATGCTAGGGGGTCCTCCCCTTTTTGGAGAAAATAAAATGGCCACAGCAAATCGAGTTTGCGGTAAATTGGGGTGCGTAAATTGGGGTTTTACTGTAGTAATATTTAACAAGTTGATAAGCTGATGTGTTGAGCTGGTATGCAATCTGAGCAGCTACAAAGCAAAGTACAACATAAAAGAAACCTTACTGTAAGTGACATGTGCAGTAGCTGAGTGTACAGCACTAAGTGTATGTGTGTATGTGCGCATGTATGTGCGTGTGTATGCGTGCGCTTTTGTGCTTTTGTGTGTGCGGGTTTGAAAAACCCTGTCAAAGTTTTAAATCGTGATGATACTATGTTTCAGTGGATTGGTATTGTACGTGATAATTTATGCTAATCATTAAACATTCAGTAAATATTTGATCAAGTTATTTGTAAGGCTTCTTATTATGTTGGTTCTATTTTTCAAATTCTTGGAGAGAGAATATTGTTCTAAAGTGAATGTTGACATCAGTGTGACGTGAGTGGGGCACTGGGGCATTTATACATAAATAAGATTTCAACTATATAAGAAATGAACTATGATATCATTTTACATTAGTTCGTCTTATTGCAGTCAGAATTTATTTTCAGTCGGTTGACCCTTTAAACATTTAAACATCCTTAGACAGTACAACTAAACGTGAGCTCTGTTTCCTGTATAAACTGTAAGTAGTAGTGTGAAGCATCTCAGATAGAGCTCAAGTATATTCACTGCTTGTTCAGAAGTGGTGTCTTCACATGCTGTGTAAAGACACAGTTAGATCTAATACATAAACACTGTATTTCTTACTTAAAGTACACACATGTGTACACATTACAGGGGGTTATACGTTTAAGTGTACTAAGGAGATGTTAATTTTGTGTGGTTACGAGAAATGTTATAACCGTGGTTTAGAGAAATGTGTTATAATATTATAACACATTTCTCTAAACCACGGTTATAACATTTCTTTACAGTGTGCAGAGCAGCAGAGAGGGAAGTTCCCTTAAAATAGTGGTGACCTCACTCAGAACCCACGTGATCTCACTCAGAACCCACGTGATCTCACTCAAAGCCCACGTGATTTCAATCAGAGCCCACGTAATCTCACTCAGAACTCACGTGATCTCACTCAGAACCCACGTGACTGTGAATAGTATTGCTCCCACCTTGTGTTTATGTGTTTGTTCTTACTTAACCTATCTGTCCTATATCTTATTGGATGTTGAAACTGAGCATGTTTTACTCCTTTATAATGTTTACTGCTCTATCTAATTCACTACAGCTAACTGGAAACATCAGACCAAACTATAAATCAAGATGTATCGAACAAGCTTAACGATTCTAATTTCGAACTTATCCCCTGAAATGTTCCAGCTAGTTTAGACCTGTCTGGAGATGTTAGTTAGGAGATGTTAGTTACAGCGAGCACAAGTTTCACGCACTGAGCACTCTACCAATCTATAATGTAAATTGCATGTGAAAATATAAGAAGAAGTACACAGACGCGTTTTACAGTGCTGATTCGAGCCAGCACATCATAACATACATAATCTGCATATATATAACATACATAATTATTATAGTTATTATTTATTAACATACATAATCAGCAAATTCCTTATCACGTTACATTTGTATGCAAAGTTACAAACTTGTGTAGATATTCGAGAGAGGGGGGGGGGGGGGGGGTCCGTCTTATAACACATATTAGTCATTAAATAGATTTCAAGGTGTATTTAAGTTTCTGAGGTAAAAGTAAAGGGACAGAAATTGTCCACCCCTGCAGGGCCCTGGCCCTCTATGTTTGATGCGGATTGGTATGTGTGTACAAGGTCTAGAATTAGTTTGTAATGCAATCTGTCTTATTAATATTCTGAGTCATTACACAAAACATTAAAATCCTCACAAAATCAGAGCGAAAATAATGCTCCTCTGTTAGACTAGTGCTAAGTAAAACTGAGTGGTAAAAGTGTAATGTTAGTAATTGAGTTGCATGTGGAGGGGTGTTGTCATCTCCCGGATTAGACAGCGTTACTCGTCCAGACATGTTACAATCACAGTATACTAGTGTAGTACTGTATACTAGTAGTGTAGTACTGTATACTAGTAGTGTAGTGCTGTATACTAGTAGTGTAGTACTGTATACTAGTAGTGTAGTACTGTATACTAGTAGTGTAGTACTGTATACTAGTAGTGTAGTGCTGTATACTAGTAGTGTAGTGCTGTATACTAGTAGTGTAGTACTGTATACTAGTAGTGTAGTACTGTATACTAGTAGTGTAGTACTGTATACTAGTGGTGTAGTACTGTATACTAGTAGTGTAGTACTGTATACTAGTAGTGTAGTACTGTATACTAGTAGTGTAGTACTGTATACTAGTAGTGTAGTACTGTATACTAGTAGTGTAGTACTGTATACTAGTAGTGTAGTACTGTATACTAGTAGTGTAGTGCTGTATACTAGTAGTGTAGTGCTGTATACTAGTAGTGTAGTACTGTATACTAGTAGTGTAGTACTGTATACTAGTAGTGTAGTGCTGTATACTAGTAGTGTAGTGCTGTATACTAGTAGTCTAGTGCTGTATACTAATAGTGTAGTACTGTATACTAGTAGTGTAATACTGTATACTAGTAGTGTAGTACTGTATACTAGTAGTGTAGTGCTGTATACTAGTATAAGTAGTGTAGTGCTGTATACTAGTAGTGTAGTACTGTATACTAGTAGTGTAGTGCTGTATACTAGTAGTGTAGTACTGTATACTAGTAGTGTAGTGCTGTATACTAGTAGTGTAGTGCTGTATACTAGTAGTGTAGTACTGTATACTAGTAGTGTAGTACTGTATACTAGTAGTGTAGTGCTGTATACTAGTAGTGTAGTACTGTATACTAGTAGTGTAGTACTGTATACTAGTAGTGTAGTACTGTATAGTGTATACTACTAGTGTAGTACTGTTAAGTGCAGTATACTAAGTGATACAATCAAAACTTCGCAATTATGACGTAATTTACGGGTTTTGATTGTAATATTAAATATATCAGAATTACTAGTCAAGTTTTTTTCAGCCTAAAGTTAAAATAGGATGAACTGGAGAACTAGTGGTGTTACTAGAGATGTTAGATCAATAACCCAATGTTTCACGGATCGTTGTAACCTCGCCTGTTGTTATGTGTAAACTGTCTGACTAACTGTATAATCACAATAAAAAGAACTTATTCCCCTTATTATACTGGTGACAGAAACACTTACTACGTCAGGTCTTCATCATGTAAAAACATTGACAGTGATAATCGCTACTATCCTCAGTAGTCTGTAATAAAACAATACACCAGACACGAGTTCAGTTAAATTAGATGCTTCTCATTCAGAGGTGTACACTGAAACAAGTGACATTGTTTCCAGGCTTATATAACAGTAAACTGCATACATAGCAGTAAACAGCACTCCTTATATATTATATTGAAATTAGACACTGGTAACTGTTGAAGAGGATATAATGGGACAACACATACACAGACATTACAATACCGTGACACTCGGTATCAGGAAGCAGCGTGTAGCTGGGATACCTCTCTTAACCTCTGTTTATCTCTGTTTACCTCTGTTAACCTCTGTTAACCTCTGTTAACCTCTGTTAACCTCTGTTAACCTCTGTTAACCTCTGTTAACCTCTGTTTACCTCTGTTTACCTCTGTTAACCTCTGTTTACCTCTGTTGAAGTAGACTGTGTTTTTAGAGCATAATGTCTGATCACTGACGGTTAGTCTGTGTGGAACATGGTACAACAGAGTCAGGTACAACAGAGTCAGGTACATAACACCACCAACATGGTACAACAGAGTCAGGTACATAACACCACCAATTGGTGAGGGTAGTACCAGGAAAAGCAAGGCTGCAGAGTAGTCTAGTAGTCTAGTTATAAGACTGGTATTTGGGTTGGTATGGTAACAGGAAAAGCTGCTCACAGTCTGTCTGTAAGGAAATGGTGCCTGCTGCACTGCTAGGGCCTGTCTGTCATATGTGTAGGATTATATATCTGAACTTGTGGTTATTAATGGGTCTTATAACTGTGGTTACTTGTCTAGTCGTGTGTTTTAATCAGGTTGTAGCATTTTAATTGACTGTCTGCAATTGGTGTAGATATTAGTGGTAATTGAGTGCGAATACTAATGGTGTAGATATTATGAGCAGTAAAATGTGTGGTATATTGTTAAGTTAGTTGTTAGTAATAGCAATACTATGTAATAGTTTTCAACACTGAGTTTAAGATGTTCAGAAGTATCGCCTCCTCCAATTATCAGTGCAGCTAGTAGTGACAAGATAAAGCTTTTTGTAGTCTGAAATACACGGTAATAGTATTATTAATATTAGCTGTCTAGTATACATTATGTAGTGAGAAGAGCTAGAGGGAAGTGGAAGTGATTGAGCACCATCATTGAGTATCACTCACTCACTTTAACTTGTAACCCCTGGTGATCCCCCTCAACAGGGAGACACAGGTATATCCCCCCTCCTGACCGTATTCAACACACTCTACACACTCTACACACTCGACACACTCTACACCGCACTCTACACACTCTACACAGCACTCTACACCGCACTCTTCACACTCTACACAGCACTCTACACCGCACTCTACACACTCTACACCGCACTCTACACACTCTACACACTTTACACACTCTACACACTCTACACACTCTACACACTCTACACCGCACTCTACACACTCTACACACTCTACACACTCTACACACTCTACACAGCACTCTACACAGCACTCTACACACTCAACACACTCAACACACTCTACACACTCAACACAGCACTCAACACACTCTACACCGCACTCTACACACTCTACACAGCACTCACACAGCACTCTACACACTCTACACACTCTACACACTCTACACCGCCCTGTGTCAGACCTGGTGTGAAGTTTGGTATTTTGTAAGTTGAGATGGAGCTTTTTCCCTCACACTAAACACACAATGAACAATATAACGGTGCCCAGGTACAGGAATTCTAGGTTTTGTCCGGACCTATTTCTGGGGTTCGTGCTTGAATTTGGGGGATTTTCACTGTATTTAGCCTTTTGAAGCTTGGTGTTCTGAAACTCAGATGATGTGAAATATTACGTCGTTATTTATCTGAAACTCTTTATTCATTCTTAATTCAGGTGCTTAATCTGTATATTTGACTTCTAAAAGATCCAATGTTTATTGTTGCCTAATATAATAAAGCTGACCGAGATTATGTAATTTGTTTACTTTAGCAGCTCTCTCTCTCCCACTATAATCTCCAGCCTGTAGACTCTGCAGACTCCACAAGTCCTGAACCCCCTCTGAACACAAAGTATCCTAATCTGTGAATAAGCCCTGAACAGTGACCGTAATGGGGTTATGCAGGCTGGGTGGGGTCTCCCTTGGCACCATCTGTATTTTCAGTGATGTAATGTTTTGGAGAGATTGCAGGAGATTATTAGCGACCTGTTAATAGATACTTTATAGTGTGAAGCAGGGTGTGGCATTGTGTTTCAGGGGGTGTGCTGTGTGCTGACTTACACTTGAAGTTACCCACTCTTTTAGTTGCCCGCCCTAGTTACCTGCCTTGTTACCTAGTTACCCGCCCTAGCGTCTGCTCGCTATTCGGTATCATTATAAAGGAGCTGCTCTTTGAAGAGTCACCGCAATGATTCTCATTTCTCGTAACGTTTGGGTGGGATGTTAATTAAGTATGTGTTTCGGAGGTCATGCTTGTGGTGATAACCTTGAGAACAAAGCTGGTTTTTAGTGTTTACAAGCGGTCCCTACATGCAAATATATATACTCTGTATCCACGAAATTTTAAATTTACTCTTGTTTTATATCAAATCTAGTAATTACCACATAATTAGAAACGTCACAATTACTCTGTAATTAGCTACAAAATACGGAAACGCAGTTTTGGTTTCAAACATCAGTCATCAGTCATGTAGTCGCTTCACGTTGTTTGTTTTTTAAGTTTTACAAAACGAAATGTCAATCAGAAATTAAATAGAAAATGTGCAGCATTCATTTTATATCTATTTTTCTTTTACTAGTTCCCCATACTGGCCAACACTGGCCTCGTCCTATTTCAGTTTCAGAACTTTGTGTAATTTTGTGTAACCTACTGTTTTTACCTGTACAGTATCCAAGTTATGAAGCTACAGATAGGCAGAGAGGCGTTTCAAAAGTAATATCGAACATTGCTATAAAGTTATCGGTATTACTAGGTGCTAAGCAGAAGTGCTTTTAGCTCCCCCCCCCCCCTGTTAGCTCCCTCTATTATTCCGTGTTCTATTCTCTGTAGAATATGTTTACACATCTTTCTGGAATGCGTGTGGAATGTGCTAACTACAGTTTGTTATTTACATTGTGATAATAAGTCTCAGCTATCTCAGTACACAATGTACTGTGAGCCTGCTGGATTCTGTACATTCTGTGTACTTGTATAAACCTAGCATGTCAAGATCACTTTAACACTACTGCACTATTATACTGCACTATTTTACAGTATTATTATACAAGGAATATGTTGAATTAATTGTTCATGTTGTTTTCAGCAGTAAATCTTTTTTAAGTATTCAGTGGAACCATCATGAAAGTTTAAACTCACAATCTAATGACAATGAATACTCATGATAGCGTATTTAAATAAAGACAGAAGCGTAGCTGCATTATATACACCACACCATCAATCTCAATTCAACTACACACCACACTATCAAACTCAACTCAACTACACACCACACTATCAACTGTAGTACACGGCGCGGCGATCTCCCATGTCTCAAGTTAAAGTACAATGTTTAAAATTATCTCTACACTGCTGTAAATGTAAATACCTCCCATTCCTCTGCGTACATATTTGTCTACTTAGCCAGGCTTGCAGTGTAGAATGTGAATATTTTCTATCCGACTTAATTAATAAGGTGTTGGGATGAGGCTCGTTTACCACATTGCATATTTAATAGGGAATAAACAGTTTAAATTGATAAATTGATAATCATAATGAACGTAGTACATACCAAATACAAATGCCTGTAATCTCTTTGCGCAGTGCAGCAAGGTAGCTGGGCTCCTGGGCCACCTGACAATAAGATAAGCTCCAAAATAAATACATATTCTGACAGTCTGTGTGAATTAGTGTGAAGTGTGAATTTAGTCTAACTAAGGCCACATATTATTTTTAAACTGATAATATTTTATAAATCAAATATATTAAAAATAGAAATGATAATAGCTTAATAGAATGACAAATGCAATGTAATGACCCACAAAAAGTGCACATTCTAACGCATTCACTGTATTATTATCATGCTGACGTAAATCTATTTAAATTAGAAGATATTTGTGAAGAAAATGCACACTAACAATGACAATAAGAGAATAAGGGCGTGATATTCCCACTGGCAAGTCTTACTTGCTAGCTCATTATTTGCTGAGATTTAATCGTAATTATAATTTTATACTAGTATGTAATAATGGAAGATGTTAAGTAGAAATACCGCTGTACTCCAGTCAGCCATTAAATGGTTTACAGGAGCCAGAATCCAGATGATATCATCTAGATTCTAGATAAATCTTAAAATTGTTACATTTTATAAACAGCTGTAATGAAACTCACTATAGTTATATGCGTAGGTGTAGAATATGTTATTACTGAAGCGACTCTCCGCTCCGCTCTACAACACATGTACCAGCTACACTCAGTTATGTACCCGCTACATACCGGTATGTGCACATACCACGCCACATTCCAGTACTCGCCACTACACCACTAACCCGCGTTACCTCCTCTCCACTATAGACCTCAACAAGACCGCTATCAGAGACTCTAACGGGGAACATTCCTTCGAGAAGCTCAGTCTCCTCTCCACTGCAGTCACTGACTACGTCAGGTCGACTAGTATACGGGGCGCGCGCGTCGCGCTACTCATCCCTCCCTCGCTACAGTTCGCTGCGGGGATGATTGGAGTGATGAACGCTAACTGTGTCCCTGTGCCACTCAACTACAAAGCAACTGACACTGAGCTGGAGTACTTGTTGAACAACAGTGAGGCGAGTGTGGTGCTAACATCACCTGAAACAGGTGATATTCTCTCAGACGAGGTGACGAGTTTGTGTATTGAGGGTGATGAAGGTGATGGACTCACTCCTAACGTGTCCTTCCAGGACCTCATCGGAGGTATCATGGTCTACACCAGTGGAACAACAGGTAAACCCAAGGGTGTGCTAGCGGGGTGCGAGGCGTTTAAACAGTGGTACAGCGCGCTAGTGGCAGGGTGGCAGATCACGTGTGAGGACAGTATTCTCCACACTCTGCCCCTGTACCACGTGCACGGTATACTGGGTATCTTCTCGGTCCTGACCCAGGGAGGTACAGTGGATCTGAGGAGTGGGTTTGATAGTGAGATGGTGTGGGGGGAGTTCCTGTCAGACTCACCACCCTCTGTTTACTACGGTGTTCCTACACAGTACAGTAAACTTATTGAGTACTATGACAACCACTTAGTGTCACGTGAGGAGGAGGTCCGGGCTAAGATGCAGCGGTTACGCTTGATGGTGAGCGGCAGTGCACCCCTTCGCGTGCCTGTTAGTGAGAAATGGGAGCATATTACAGGACACCGCTTGTTAGAGAGGTACGGAATGACAGAGATAGGCCTAGCTATTAGTAACCCTTACACACCCGCCTCAGACAGGAGACCAGGGTGTATTGGGCTCCCTTTCTCTGGAGTAAAAGTACGGTTAGTAACAGAGAGTGGAGGAGTGGTGGGGACTGCAGAGGATGGGGTGTTAGAGAGTGGGAGAGAGGGGCAACCTGGGGAGATACAGGTTACTGGTCCCACTGTCTTCAAAGAGTACTTCAACAACCCCACCGCTACAACCGAGACCTTCACACAGGACGGGTGGTTTAAAACAGGGGACACAGCGGAGATAGAGGGGGGAGTGTTCAAGATCTTGGGGAGAACAAGTGTTGATGTTATCAAATCAGGGGGGTATAAACTGAGTGCTCTGGAGATAGAGAGAGAGTTGTTGGACCATAATAATATCACAGATGTGGCAGTTGTGGGGATAGAGGATGATGTGTGGGGTCAGAAAGTGGTAGCAGTTATTGAGAGTAATCTTGCTAACCAGGCGGATATTGATCAGTTGGATCTCAGGGGGTGGTGTAAGGGGAGGATGTCTACTTATAAGGTTCCTAAAGACTTTGTTGTGGTTGAGGCGCTGCCCAGGAATCATATGGGCAAGGTTAATAAAAAGTTGCTGGTTAAGAAGTATTCTGGTGTTTTGAGATAAAATGAAAGTTTGTTATGTTAGTTTTTGTGTTTTGTTACGGTGCTGTGATATGATAATTGAGAAGTGAATGTTACGATTTCTATAGGTGAAACATTGTGATTTTTAAAGTTTTAACTAGTTTATTTATGTGACTATCACGATGTTTTTTATCATACGCAGTTCGTTCCCTAGAGACCCTATGCCAGATATTTATAATTAATTGGTTTAAATGTTTTGAGTTTTATAACTTATGTGGTATTCAATGTATTAACTTACATTACTTACACAATTAGTCTTATTCTGAATTCAACTGCAGCTTGTGACAAAACCCCAGATCTCTGCCATATCCATATTCTTGACTTGTCGTGTTACCTCCGTTTCCGTTTCACCCCATCTATGAGAATTAGTTGCCAGGTGTGATTTAATACCAACAGACTGTAAAAGTACTGACATGTTGTTATAGTGCCAGTAAGTATGATATCATTGTGCACTCTCTGCAACCCTGCAAACTACTCGTACTCAACTCAGTTTTACTTGTTTGTTAATTGTGACACGTGATTGTTAATTGTGACACGTGATTGTTATTCAAACCCATGATAAGTCAGAGCCCTTTAAGCTTATTTGTAAGTGACTGTACTATAAATACTACATGATATTATAGTTTCAAACCAAAATAGGTACAAATACGTCACCACTGCTTGAATAGTAGTTGGGCTTTCGAAAACAATGAACTTTTGACTGTAGCTCATTTTAATATAAGGTCATCTGTTGTAGCTGTCATATTTGGCATCTGATTTAATGTTGTGCGTGTCACTAATTTCATGTGTCACTAATTCCATTAACTGCATATCCGGGATGTTCATTATTTACACTTTAGTAACTGATCAGTTTAGATTTTAGAAGTGTTAGGATGATCAGTAATAGTGGATTTTATCTATTACATGTGACAGTTTCCTATCTAACAGCTGACTTGTGCAACAATAATACCGGCCCTCATTCCTTACCCGTAACATTGCTACATCTTGCCCTGAAAACAGTTCATAATGGTTAATACTACCCAGTATTTACGTTGAAGGGAGCAGTGTAACTCGGACAGGGCGCTCAGTATGCTGACATGTCAACAATACACATAATAACCCCCTAGCCAGCTCCCCTCAACCAAGTACACTGTACAGAATACTTGCAAGTTCCTAATCGTTATTACATACTTTACATTCAGGCACATTCCTCTGGAACACTGCTGAATATGACGCCAAGTCAGCAGCTCCTGTCCAACACTTCCTCTTACCCGTCCTCCACCCTATGTCATCCTAATTTACTACGTAATTACGTGTCAATTTATGCTCATTATTACGTGTTATTATGTGTTCATTATACGTAATTATATATCGGGAAGTATTACTTTCAGCATAATATCCATGATAATGATACCCCCAGATTAAGACAAAGTGTCGTGTACTCTGATATTATAAAATGTAGATTCCATTTTACAACATACAGTCGCAATACGCACGAGTTATGTGTCAATTATTAAACATTTGTCACAAATATCATCAATTTACCTTAGCCGGGTATTTAATTGGGAGTGTTGGTTATCACCTTACTTTTTCCTCTTTACTTTACTGTGCAGATGATGTTTGTGAGATGTTCGGTTGCCAAATATCACTAGTTTACCTGCTCATCAGTATTCATCAGTGTTCTTGTCGGTGTTGCTTTGTGTATGTGTTGGTTGTTCATGTTGGTAGTGATCCTCTTACCCCTCTTTCCCCTCTTACCCCTCCAGCTCCCTATTTGTACTATATTAATCCTTAGTTTCTCGTTTTTACCTGTTTGTGTGTCAATACTCCTTTGGAGTCGAGGCATTACACTTTTGCTTTTAAACCTGGGCCTTACCGCACGGTTTATATTATGTAGTTGATGAATTTGTTGATGATTGTGTTTTTCTTGGTTGTGGCTCCTATGATGTAGACTGTAGGCTTTGTTAGTTCGTTGTATGTTCTCTTGTACTTTGATCAAACACTTTGTAGCAAAGCATTTTAAAGACTATGTGCTTTATATTAATTCATGGACAGATTTCAAGTTTGGCTTTCCTTTTTTGGTCTTAATCTCCATTTCGGTTTCTGATCTCCTCACTGCCGCCCGACTAGTAGGTACAGATGATTAGCGTGTATTTTGTGTGCAACATGAACACAGCACTAGTTGTCATTATATCTAAATCTTAATTACCCACCCTAACTCAACCCATAATAATATGTACAGTGTTTATTCCTTGTCTCTCTCTCTTTCTCTGTTTGTTCGTTTGTTTGTTCGTTTGTCGGCGTATTTCTTGTTTGTATCCGCTTTTCTTTGTTGTAAGAATTAGGGCCACGTTTTGAACACGAGTTTTTGTGAATTGCTTATTTACAGTTGAGGTTTATAGTTTTGTCTGCTATAACATACAGCTGTCACTAAGACTAGGCTTACTTGTCAGATTGCTCCCTTCTTAATGAGGTGTCCCTACCTTTAGTACAGTTGATTAGTTTGATAAGTTTTCAATTAGCCCAATTAGTTTCCAACTAAAAACGATTAAATAAAAACTGAGCTTCTGCCTTCACTGAATTATCATCGAATGCTCCGAATTACTGCAAAATAAGTTGGTTAAAGTACAAATAAAATGTATTTATTGTATCAAAAAAGTTATGAATTAGAATGGATTCATTGAATCAGTTTATGAAAGGCCTAAAGTATGACCATAAAACACGTGTTGGTAGGATATTAGTGGTAGTTGATACAGTGCTCAAATACTTAATACTTTCATTTAATAAGATGAATTCTTCAGCTGTTTGTCAAAGTATATTTTAGTGCGTCTATGATTTAAAATATTTACCATATTTGCGATTTAATGTGCTAGCTACTGGGGATTTTGGTACTAGCCTTACCTTAACATACTAATTCTTCTCTGATATGCCCTTCCCTGCTGATCTCCGAAATATTTCCCTGGTTCATAAAATGAAATGCCCTGGGGTTTACTGGGGTTTACCGTTTACTGGAGTTAACTGGGGTTTACTCACAACTGTACCTGGCTTGAAGTTATTTAACATCTTCTATGAAAATCAATATCAAAAAATCATAAAAATCATAATCCAAAATAACAATCTCTCCTCCACAAACCTCCAGATTAACATAGTGGAGGAACATTTAGTTACTTTCTGTGTACACACCAACTTCACCATCACGTCCAGACAACTATACCTCTACAATACAGGCTGTGCTCTGTTATTCTATCTCTCTTACTATGCCTGAGAAACCTAATAAAGTATCAGAGCTGTTGTACGACACACGAATATTTTAGTGTCCTGTACTCGCTTATACACAATACTTGTTCGCTCTCTATAATACACTACTAGTGAGGCTTCTAATTCCCCCTGCTAGTAGTAGTAGGAGTAGTGAAGTGTTGGACTGTAATACTACGGGTATGTTATGTTACAGTGGAAACCTCAGTCCATGTACAGGTAGTAATAGTGTAGTGTAGTGTTGGGCTGCAATACTACGGGTATAGTATGTTACAGTGGAAACCTCAGTCCATGTACAGGTAGTAGCAGTGTAGTGTAGTGTTGGGCTGAAATACTACGGGTATAGTATGTTACAGTGGAAACCTCAGTCCATGTACAGGTAGTAGTAGTGTAGTGTAGTGTTGGGCTGCAATACTACGGGTATAGTATGTTACAGTGGAAACCTCAGTCCATATACAGGTAGTAGTAGTGTAGTGTAGTGTAGGGCTGCAATACTACGGGTATGTTATGTTACAGTGGAAACCTCAGGTTCTTTATCAGTAACTTTGCAATGAAGATAACAGGGCACAATTATTATTGATACATGTCATTCTGACACCCTGCTGTTAACTATTAACTATGTTGTACATGTCATGAAGGTCCGTCGCTGGTGCTATAATTTGTCTTAGAAATCGATGTTTACTAATTTAGAATTATCGCTAGCCCGATGTTTACTAATCTAAAATTATCGCTAGCCCGATGTTTACTAATCTAAAATTATCGCTAGCTCGATGTTTACTAATCTAAAAATATCGCTAGCCCGATGTTTACTAATCTAAAATTATCGCTAGCTCGATGTTTACTAATCTGAAAATATCGCTAGCCCGATGTTTACTAATCTGAAAATATCGCTAGCTCGATGTTTACTAATCTGAAAATATCGCTAGCCCCATGTTTACTAATCTAAAATTATCGCTAGCTCGATGTTTACCAGAGAGACACTATGACCGAAGATGACGATGATAAAGGCGCCCCAACTCGCTACAGCAATATACAACTACACTTCCAATAACAAGGATGAACTTAATCTTAGGAAGGGAGACAAAGTAAGATTATTTTATATTTACTTTTATTTTATTTACTTTCATTTATTTTTTAAAAATGATTATCGTATAGTCGCTGGATTTTATATTCCATCGATTGATTTAGATTTTAGATTTATCTTTATTGGGTATGATAAAAATTAAGCACATTCCTTAGAGTTACCATTAATCGCTATTTTAAGACATTAATACACATATTGGTTAACTTGTTGACTAAATTATAAGGAAGTAATAAGTCAAGGTGATCTCCAAGTTCGGCTTTTAACTTTAACTCTACTAAAATTGTAAACCGTGAACGTAACCTTCAAAAGTAACCCGTGAATGATATACCAAAGTTCATGTACGCTCTAATGTCAATAATCAGTGAGGACAGCAATCTTAATCTGAACATACCAAAAATACCAAATGATAACATTTATCGGGTACATAATATCTTTAATATTTGCATTTTGCATCACACTGTTCGCCAACTGAGTAGCTCCGAATTTAAACCATGATTTAATGTTTCCCCCTAAAACTTTAAAATACCCGGTGTCCTCACCATAACGGAATGTTAAGAACGAGCACTAAGATTAGCAGATTCGATTTTACTTTGTAAGATTAGCTGATTCCCCACCAGCTGCATTCCAGACCACTAAACATATGAAAATACTCGAATCCTCGTGGAATGTGCTGCGAATTTTTGGGATTTTCCCCGTTAAGTTAAGAAACATAATAAAGTCAAGTCTTCAATTGTGACAGATCGGAATTTCGGAAGAACTGTGGGATGGTAAGGAATGGCTCACACAATATAGCACTGGATACCCCCACCAAATGGGAAGCTTATAATCCTTGCAGTCTGTAATCTGTAATTACACCATAATAAAGAGTTGAGCAGGTGTTCAGATGATTATTAAATATTATATTATATTACATAATATAATATCATATTATATTATTATGTCTGGAAACCTATCTCATAATAAGTTGGGGAAGGCTCGCGTTGTGTAGAACTAAAATCGTTATTACTCGTAACCTTTTGAGATAAGTGATATATCTGGTGGACTACTTAGTGTAATTTGAAACGTGAAAAATCTTTGGAGATAGTTGAAAACATTCGGCGTATCCCAAGTTGTTAATGCAAACCAGTGCTCCAGGAGACGCAGCAGAGCTGTCGGTCAGTTTTTAACTATCCTTACATCTAACTGTGGCTATTTAGTGCGGATAATTATAAGTAACTACATCAGAACAAAATACTGAATTAAGTAAGTTTAACACAATTCACAAAGAGTGCAGCCCTCCCTCTTTATCAAACTCCTTTATAAAACTTCTTTTCAACGTCACCTGTTTTACAATGAACAGATTCTTCTAGAACAATTAATAATATTATATTTTACCCGTAATAATGTCGGGCTTTGTGAATGAATTAAGACTGAAATTAAAAACAGTGTTGAAAGGTGAGCCCTAAAATTAGGGGCCAGCATTTTGTGTGTTTTATATTGAACTCCTGTTAATACTCCTTCATAAACCACGCAGTCATGCTGATACTATTTACTACAGCAAGGCTGCAGCACACACACACTCAAACTACTCCTAGTTTCAAACTATTTGCCGCCAAATATACAGTATTCAGTGTATTGTGTTGGCACATAATTACAGTGACTCCTTGTGCTGTAATAATATTGCAGTACATATCACCTAGCTGAGCAGTGGTACGTGTGTTTGATAATTTTAGTTGTCTGTACGTACACTGTTAATCACGTACACGTGGGCTGTATAATTGTGGAAGGAAGTTTAATTGAAGACGGGTTGCTGGTGTAGATAATAAAATATCACACTTGTTTCACACAACACTACCTGTCTTATTATTATCAGATATTACAATCCCGTTAGAATATGTGACATAATATTACTTTTGAAACGGTAAGAATTTAATGTTAAATACGCTGTACAATACTGTATTACTACTACTTTTGTTTTAACCAGGTACAGATATTCTCGAAAGATCCCCTGCTTAGCGGAGACGAAGGATGGTGGATTGGTCAGATCTACAAACATGCTGACAACGCCAAAGCTGCTCCCTTCGTCGGTACGTTGCTATGTCTGTTTGTTTGTGTTTCTAAAGTTTAGTAGATTTATCAGTTTGTGTAGATTATCATTATTAAACATGAATGGAATGAACACCCAAAAATGAACACCTAGAAAAATGCCAGTAATCCAACGATGCTTCTTAGCACTTAGGGGAATGTATGAATTCAGTTTTACACAGTTACACGGAGGTAATGTAGTTACAGGAAGTTTAAACAAGGTAATTCTTCAGAAAACAGCTTTATTATAACTTGATACAACACCTGATATTGTGAGAGTGTAACAAACTGACCTTAATCACCCAACAAATACAGATATTACGTCACTCAATTATCTAATTGATCAGTTAGTTGGCTGGTTTATCAGTTAACCGCATATATTTACTGTGTGGTATTCATTCTAACCGTGGTACATTATCACCGTGGTCTACCATATAAACTGTATTAGCCATCATGTAGCTCCACACTAGGTCACATTTATTATAGAATATTTCCATCATGTTAAGACACTGGAGGTAACTTTAACTTTGAGTTGACTCAGTCTAGAAGGAAGATTAAACCGTTTGGTTTTCTGTTGACACCTGGTTGATTTGATCTTTAAGCACTAAGTTAAAGCTTTTGATCACCCTAGTAGACAGTCAGCTTATCCACTGACTTGGAAGTTCACAAGGCCTCCATACAATATGGGCAACTTTAATATGTACCACTTCGCGTGGAAGTCTTGGCGTTGCCCATAGGTTGGAAACAATTAGTTAAATGGATAATTAGGTCTATATTTTTAAAGTGACAGTGCACAACCAAGAGGGTGTTTATTTGGATTACTTGGTAGCTCTTGTCAAACACAAGGATATATTTGCGCTTATTTTCTACTATAAACGTAACTTTTAGCAGTAAGGTATGCCCTTCGGGGCACATCAAGTCTACAATAATATAAATCTACAAGTCAAACGATAAGTTGAGTTACTTCAATTGAAAAGCTGTACTACATAACATAAGAGAAACAAGAGGAGAGCTCTCCTCAAACATTTACTCTTCTGGACGTTACACTTGTACACCTGTGCTAGAATATTCACGCAAAACATTTTATCATTATTTTGTAACAACTTCCCCCATGCATGATGTATAATGTGTATTCTACAAATTAAATAGTTACACTTCGCACGTTGGGCTAGTTTAACTTTAAATGGGTACTGTGGATTTTATTTTGGGAATGAAAAGGTCAAAAATTATATAGCCAGTGTAATTATATTGTCACCAGACATAAGGGGTAGTTCACATATTACGTAATCACTTTTTGGCCAATTTTTAACCCCCCTCCCCCCTCCGTAATCATTTTTACAAATAGCTATTGTGTCAAAATTACACTAGCAAAATCATTTGGAAACCCTCCTCCCCCCTCGGCTGATTACGTAATATGTGAACGACCCCGGAATTTGGCTGACCCCGGAATTTGGCTGATCCGACATTAAGCTGGTCCGAAATTCTGTGTTGTACTGTATCCTTTAATAAACTAGATTATTAGGGATGGGGGGGGGGGGGGGGGGCTAGGTGATGCTACTTTGTAATTTGTAATTTGTAATTTGTACCACGGCACGGGTCTCACCAACTTGTTTTCAGGAGTCTTCCCTCACAACTTCGTGGAGGCACACAACATACAGAACATCGAAGTGAACGACATCCAGATAGGGGAGGTGGTGGGATATGGTGGCTTCGGTAAAATCTACAAGGGAGCTTACAACGGCAAAGAGGTAATTACAGTTTAAATTAAATTAATTGCAACACTACTACTATACAAATATATTACATTAATTGAGGTGATACTAGTCGAGTCACAAGCGGGTCGACTAGAGTTACTGGTTACATCGTTTTTATGATTTAAAAACAATTATAGCTACCAAAATGCTTTAAATTTAAACAAAAATGTATTTATACATTTTTTGTGCATTTTTTGAACAATGCTATACTTTAATTAATTCTTGGATAGTAAATGTAAATGCATTATTTCTGAAATTTTCCACATGATTCTTTATGATAATGTATTTCGATCTGAAATGTGAAACTCAAGCAAATATTTTGGAATGTTGTGGGTAATTCCGGATATCTTAAATACTTCGAGAATATGTCTAAATATTATATTCTAAATACTCAAATGATATTTCTGAATACTATAAATTATCGGTTTACACTCTCGTGTATTTAATCCGACTAGTGATATCAATGATTCGGTGTTATGACGTAATGACAATAATTATTAACGTTCCCCTGGGATTCTTGGAATGTATAATGTAATATCACACTTCTGTACCGATGTTTGATAATGTATAATCACACAACGTATAATAATTGTCACAAAAAATCAGTGTATCAAGACAACCTGTATAATATGTAATATTATTCTGATTATATTTCAAAAACTAAATTCCTTGTAAACATATTGTGTAGTTTATACCATGGTTAAAGCACTGCGGCTGGTCAGATTAGTTGATGAGCCTGATAGCTTGTGTAATGTGTATGATGGGTCCTATTGGTCGCACTAAACTAACAGTATTAAGATTTAATATTATTATCTAATAAATTGTTATGGTGTTTTTGGTTAGTTTTAATAGTCACTCTTCTCTGTCTCAAGTGACAATAAATAACTTTATGATCAGGAAAGATTGCGACAGTAACTTAATAACACATCGGGGACTTCAAAAAAACCACCATACGGCGGGGGGATCAGGTACTAAGTTCTGTGCGTGACGTCGACTAAGTGTAATTTTGGTATTTTTCAAAAGACCCACCCACCCCCTTCGCGGTACTAACTGTTTTTTCGGATAACAATTAAGACACCCATTCCCTTTTGCGAGCTTTTGCAGTACTAATCACGGTACTAACTGTGTCTTGGTATATAAAATAAGATTGCTTTAAACAGCTCATTAAACATGACTTTTTAGTTTTAAAAGGATCCGATATTGAATGTAAACAATAAAACTAACAGTTGAGATATCTATGCTTAATTAAATACAGATTATACAATGCTAGCAGGGTGAAAAATGCTGGGCCTTTTTAGTAGCAGGCTGCGCGTGCCCGCTGTAGCAAAAAGAGCTCGCAGGTGGATATAAAGCTGATTCAGTGTATACGACTCGCATGGACACAACCTTTCAAAAGGTCATTATATTGGTGGTGATGGTATGTACTGAAACATGTTTGTACTACAAGACACATCATCCAAGAACCAGTAGTTGAAATAAATTTTAAAATAAATTAAACACTGGACCTTCTCAAGTGGAAAAGGCCACTTTTTTAAATTATACAAAAGATCAATCACATTCTGTTTAATAAATAATACCCTTATTTACTAACTGTTTTTTGGGCAAATTAGACCTAAGACCCACTATTTAGTACCATTTACTAACTGTTTTTGGGAAATGGGAAAATTAGCCACTATTTAGTAATTAGTAGGGGTTTTATTTTCAATGCAGTCGAATTAGATAACAAGTCACCATGTACTAACTGTGTTTTGGAAGAAAATATGACCCTTACGTCACGTACAGTACTAAGCGTGCGATCCACCCCCCCCCCCCCCCCCCGCATACGGTGGTATAATTATATTTAATCAATTTATCTTTAAAACTCGCAGCATTGGCCTTGTTCGACCAATCGAACACCTAAAGGTTCTTGTTCTTATAATATTTTATTGCTCAATAAGATAAGAACTCATCGTGTTATGCGAATTTTGGTCCGAGATCTCAAATCAAATTATCAAACTCGTTTGTACCGCTGCTTAAATGATTTTATTACATATTTTGGTATTAGACTCACCTGAATTTTATTTTATTTCCTTTATTAAACTGCCCGAACGTTCAATTTGAAACTAGCTGTTATCATATTAAAAAATCTTTCTCCCTCTTCTTCGATTGAAATAATTAGCATCTTCAACGTCCAATTTAACACACTATCGTTACCACAATCTCTCACAGGATGATAGAATTAGTACTGCTCTTGTGTTTGGTCCAAGTTACCAGTTCCTGTTCCTGTTATACCTTTACCGAACCTGAAATGCTCTGTAACAACCCTGGTAGGAATGTAGTTAAAATAAGGGTCGAGAAAATAACCAAGGATCTCCCGGACATCTGGGCGATACGCGAGGCTCAATATGATTTGTGGTTGGAAGCGGTTAGGGCTGAAGAGCTTAGAGTTGAAGAAAAGTTGGCTAAGTTTGACTGGAGTGATGATTCACTTCCAACTGAACCCCCAGTATCAGACATTGAATATCCATCATTTAAATCGGTTGAGGAATCGTATGGGAATGCGGAGAAGGAAGTTCAAGCAGTAGTGGAGAAAGTGTGGGGTTTGGGGAGCATGCAAGTGAGCCAGCAACTGACACTGAGTGGACATGAGGGTGAATCTATGTGTGGAACAGCAGGGAAGCTGGTTCCAGGTACGACCCATATCTTCTGGGTTAGGCAGGATACCACATCCATGAGGCTCTGGCTCTGTGATCTTCTTGATCTAATGCCCGATAACGCTGAGAAATACTTGGACTCTATCAAAAACTTGAAATGCTGAACTAACTGGGATAGTTAGAAATAAGGGTCAGATGACACAGTGACACTTTGGTAGGGTCTCCAGTCATTTTGATAAGTTATCTTTGGATCATTATTCATCCAATACTCCTGTTATAAAACTATATACTATTCTATTTCAATCAACAAATAGTCATTAAAAAAATGTTTGAGCTTAAGTTTTATGACTGTAATGGTCCCAGATTAGATTTCTTGTGTGATTTAAATACTGAAGTTGGGGTGAAAATCAATATCTTCATTTAGGAATCGATTTCAGATTTAGATGAACTCATTTATTCAGCCAGGTTTAATTAGCTGGCATGTATCGTTTGTAAACCAAGATAAGACTTCTTTACATAATTAGAGAATAATAAAATCTCCTTATTTCCACCATGAAACCCGCTCTTATCTACGATATTTATGCACCGTTGTTAAAGAAGATAATAACTAAATCACATGATCTAGGAAAAAAACCATGGCTCCACTAATTATATATTAGATAACAATAATTGTTTTATCGATGATTAACGATGTCGACTTAAGTCCAGTACAAGTTCAAGACCAAATTTCAGTTCATGTCAAGTGTTTCATCTAGTCGCTTCGATATAAACATAATATTCAATTTTGGGTATTTTAAATGATAATTATAGTGTGTTTATTGATTTTTCTATAAAATTCAAGTTTTGTTTTATTTGGATTTGAAACTAACGCCCAATCTTCTTTCCTCTCTGACTCAAGCCATCTACGACCACTGCACGAGACGTGTCTTATTCTTTTTTTCCTCTTCTTCCTCTTCCTTTTCTTCCTCTTCCCCTTCTTCCTCTTCCTTTTCTTCCTCTTCCCCTTCTTCCTCTTCCTCTTCTTTCTCTTCTTCGGTTTTTCCTCTTCCTTTTCCTCTTCTTCCTCTTCTTCCTCTTCCTTTTCTTTCTCCTCCTTTTCTTTCTTTTCTTCCTCTTCTTTCTCTTCCTTTTCTTCCTTTTCTTCCTCTTCCTTTTCTTCCTCTTCTTCCCCTTCCTTTTCTTTCTCTTCCTTTTCTTTCTCTTCTTTCTCTTCATTTTCTTCCTCTTCTTTCTCTTCTTTTAATTAGCTAGTTAATTGATAATTTTTGTATTATATAATAAGGTATCGGATTTTGCTATATGATAGTGAATATATCAAATAACGGAGTAGTTCGCTGTTTATTAGTCTCATGATTGAAATACTGATATCTGGATATTATCCGGTTGGAAGAGACAAGGACAAGTGAAACAAGGAAGTTAGGAGTAAGGGTGAATATAATCGATAATATAATCGATATAATAGTGAATATAATCGAACTCTAACTTAATAACTAGATGTTAAATTCCTCTGGTATTTGTGGAATGTGGTCATTATCTAATTATCCTATCACTTGTTTGCGAAGTGTGAATATGGATAAAATAAAAACATAATGTATATATTCCTGGATTAAAACTATAATTTCTGTCCCGAAACTTAACACGATTGTTCACTAATATCACAAGTTGTTTATTATTCTCAACGACACAAACAATCCAGTGGTGAACAGATCAAATTCCTGCCAAGTTATTGAAGCAGAAAAAATGTCCCAATCTTATGAATCTTAATTTAGCACGTTTATTCCACATCCTATACAAAGAAATGCGTGGAATGTAACCACTGTCCCCCCCTCTAGGTAGCCGTAAAGGAAGCACGAGAGATAATCGGCAACTTAGAAGCTGATATCTATCAGGAGTTCCTACTGGAAGCCCATACTATCCACGATCTACAGCATGATAACATTACTTCTCTTTACGGGGTTATTACTATTTACTACTTTGTGCTTACCATACAATTACAAGCATGCAAGTGAGCCAGCAACTGACACTGAGTGGACATGAGGGTGAATCTATGTGTGGAACAGCAGGGAAGCTGGTTCCAGGTACGACCCATATCTTCTGGGTTAGGCAGGATACCACATCCATGAGGCTCTGGCTCTGTGATCTTCTTGATCTAATGCCCGATAACGCTGAGAAATACTTGGACTCTATCAAAAACTTGAAATGCTGAACTAACTGGGATAGTTAGAAATAAGGGTCAGATGACACAGTGACACTTTGGTAGGGTCTCCAGTCATTTTGATAAGTTATCTTTGGATCATTATTCATCCAATACTCCTGTTATAAAACTATATACTATTCTATTTCAATCAACAAATAGTCATTAAAAAAATGTTTGAGCTTAAGTTTTATGACTGTAATGGTCCCAGATTAGATTTCTTGTGTGATTTTAAATACTGAAGTTGGGGTGAAAATCAATATCTTCATTTAGGAATCGATTTCAGATTTAGATGAACTCATTTATTCAGCCAGGTTTAATTAGCTGGCATGTATCGTTTGTAAACCAAGATAAGACTTCTTTACATAATTAGAGAATAATAAAATCTCCTTATTTCCACCATGAAACCCGCTCTTATCTACGATATTTATGCACCGTTGTTAAAGAAGATAATAACTAAATCACATGATCTAGGAAAAAACCATGGCTCCACTAATTATATTAGATAACAATAATTGTTTTATCGATGATTAACGATGTCGACTTAAGTCCAGTACAAGTTCAAGACCAAATTTCAGTTCATGTCAAGTGTTTCATCTAGTCGCTTCGATATAAACATAATATTCAATTTTGGGTATTTTAAATGATAATTATAGTGTGTTTATTGATTTTTCTATAAAATTCAAGTTTTGTTTTATTTGGATTTGAAACTAACGCCCAATCTTCTTTCCTCTCTGACTCAAGCCATCTACGACCACTGCACGAGACGTGTCTTATTCTTTTTTTCCTCTTCTTCCTCTTCCTTTTCTTCCTCTTCCCCTTCTTCCTCTTCCTTTTCTTCCTCTTCCCCTTCTTCCTCTTCCTCTTCTTTCTCTTCTTCGGTTTTTCCTCTTCCTTTTCCTCTTCTTCCTCTTCTTCCTCTTCCTTTTCTTTCTCCTCCTTTTCTTTCTTTTCTTCCTCTTCTTTCTCTTCCTTTTCTTCCTTTTCTTCCTCTTCCTTTTCTTCCTCTTCTTCCCCTTCCTTTTCTTTCTCTTCCTTTTCTTTCTCTTCTTTCTCTTCATTTTCTTCCTCTTCTTTCTCTTCTTTTAATTAGCTAGTTAATTGATAATTTTTGTATTATATAATAAGGTATCGGATTTTGCTATATGATAGTGAATATATCAAATAACGGAGTAGTTCGCTGTTTATTAGTCTCATGATTGAAATACTGATATCTGGATATTATCCGGTTGGAAGAGACAAGGACAAGTGAAACAAGGAAGTTAGGAGTAAGGGTGAATATAATCGATAATATAATCGATATAATAGTGAATATAATCGAACTCTAACTTAATAACTAGATGTTAAATTCCTCTGGTATTTGTGGAATGTGGTCATTATCTAATTATCCTATCACTTGTTTGCGAAGTGTGAATATGGATAAAATAAAAACATAATGTATATATTCCTGGATTAAAACTATAATTTCTGTCCCGAAACTTAACACGATTGTTCACTAATATCACAAGTTGTTTATTATTCTCAACGACACAAACAATCCAGTGGTGAACAGATCAAATTCCTGCCAAGTTATTGAAGCAGAAAAAATGTCCCAATCTTATGAATCTTAATTTAGCACGTTTATTCCACATCCTATACAAAGAAATGCGTGGAATGTAACCACTTTCCCCCCCCTAGGTAGCCGTAAAGGAAGCACGAGAGATAATCGGCAACTTAGAAGCTGATATCTATCAGGAGTTCCTACTGGAAGCCCATACTATCCACGATCTACAGCATGATAACATTACTTCTCTTTACGGGGTTATTACTATTTACTACTTTGTGCTTACCATACAATTAAATCACTTCTCGTGTAAATTGCGAAAATTTATATTTGTCATAAATATGTAAGTACTTTATATACGTACAACTCTACCGCGAGACCAGTCTTTGTAAATCTAACATATTCGTGAATATTACGTACCATGACATTATGAATAACGTTCAGGTGTGTATAAGACCGCCCCAAAAGTTGTGTTTAGTGTTGGAGTTTGCATACGGTGGATCGTTGTACGATGTACTCAAACAGTTCGGACTACCCGCAAGTAAGTGAGCTTACTGGATATTTCATATTTCCACTTTGAATTTGTTATAATGATTTAAATTTTTCTGCTTGCAATTACTTTTCATGGTTTAAGCTTTTATATACTCATAAGCGTTTTAGCGTCAGAATATTTTCAGTTTAACTGAATTCGGAATTGTGATATTTCCTCGGAATATCTTACGATTATACACTTTGTTTACGTTATTTTAATACAAATTTCCGCAGATGTCATTGTTAACTGGTCCAAACAATTGGCTAATGGAATGTCCTACATCCATTCCAAAAAAGTCATCCATCGAGATCTAAAAAGTGGAAACAGTGAGTGCCGATCTTACACGAATTATTTCCTTTATGGTTCAGCTTTTGTTCTTAAAAACTGGTTAAAATAGTGGGTACTGCCACAATGGATAAACCACTTGAGTAATAAGTTTGAGCACAGGAAGCGGCAAATCAAAACCGCTGTCACGTGCCAAAGCTGCTTGTGGGAAGATAATGAAGTGTGCTTTGGCAAAGCACACTTCATTATCTTCCCACTTTATTCAAGTTTATTGACCCATGCTTCACACTTTCATCACCGTCTAGCTTGATTTTCTCGAATGCAGTTTCATATCATATCGTCGTACGTTGCGTAGAATTAGTGTGTAAGAATTTTACACCCGCTGGCGTGAGTTCAAACTCAGAACGTGCTAGTATTTTTAGATATTGCTAGTTTTTTAACTAAATACATGAAATAGTTCGCGCGCACGCACGTTCCCGATGAAAACTTTGTGGATTTCGTGCTACGTCACCAAGCTATGTCTTTTCAGTTCTCCTGGCCAAGGACTTGAGACAGACAAGCTTAATGGAAAACACTGTTAAAATAACTGGTAAGTTGTTCCCCACATTTGTTTTTGCACCTGTTTCGTTCAATTTTTAATATTCATCGATTTTGTCATTTGATTTGAATTCTTAACAATGTTATAAACTCGCCTCCTAATTGAACCATTCTCCTCCCCAGATTTCGGGATGGCTCGCCACATGGAGAAAACAGCCAACCTCAGCAAGATGGGTACCTTCAGGTGGATGAGCCCTGAGGTCCTCCGAGATTCTCAGTACAGTCAAGCTAGCGACGTTTGGAGGTTATTTTTAGTTACACGTACTTTGTTGTTAATTATTGCGGGGGAGTCTCTCACCAGTTGATAAGTAGATTTCCATGATCCATCATACCCGGTCATTGTAACAATAAAGGTCGAAATGCAGTTTTGATATTTGCTCGTGCGCTTGATCGCTTAGCAACAGTGTAACATGTTAACCGCAATTTAACCACTTTCCCACTCCCCCAGTTTCGGTGTCGTAGTATGGGAAATGTTGACGGGAGAAGTTCCATTCTCTAAATTTGAAGACTGGGCAGTACAGTATAAAGTGGCAGCTGGAAAGATGACACTCCCAATCCCCGAAACCTGTCCTGACGACATCAAGGATCTGCTTGCTTGTTAGTTTTTAGTAGCTTTCGTTTGTCCATTTATCTGTCATATTTATATATGTTTATATGTTAGATATAGGAAATCCCCTCCTTTTTCGATCATTTATATATGATAAATCTGAAAATGCCGCCCGTCATGTAATGAAGTTTGCATTACTGTGACTCCCCTTTTTTGTCAGCGATCTGGAATTACGACAGAAAAGAGCGGCCCATATTTTCCAACATTTGTTCTACATTAGAAGAAATCAGTCAGACTGAGTTTGTAAACCTTGAAGACAGCGACTTTAGGTCTATGAGGCTGGAATGGCAGGATGAGCTGGAGATGATATATAGGGAGCTCCAGGAGAAGGAGGATCAACTTTTCCAGAGAGAGACAGAGGTTATTTAAATTTGTTTATTTTGGGTTAACTTATTTCACTCTCATAACCAAGTTTTTGTGTGAACTAGCAGTTTTTTTTGTAAACTAGGGGCAATAACAATGTTCTCATTTATCATTTTAAGTTTTGTGATTTGAAAGACCGGTGCAGTTTTTTTCAGCTTGATAGCTGGTCAATCAATTTAGGTAAACAAAAAGCAGCAAGAGATGGAGGAGAAAGCGCACACTTTACAACAAGAAAAAGCTAACCTCAATCTCGAACAACAGGTGTGTAGTGTTTATAAAATCCACCAGCTTATGTTCCCACAGGGACAGGGACAGGGACAGGGACAGGGACAGGGACAGGGACAGGGACAGGGGCAGGGACAGGGACAGGGACAGGGACAGGGACAGGGACAGGGACAGGGCAGGGACAGGGACAGGGACAGGGACAGGGACAGGGACAGGGACAGGGACAGGGACAGGGACAGGGACAGGGACAGGGACAGGGACAGGGACAGGGACAGGGACAGGGACAGGGTTTTCAGAAAAGTTGTGCTCTTGTCAATCTCCGATCCTGATTTCATAATTTCCTCAAACAGCTCACGATTTCTCCCTCAGGAGCTTAACAAGGTGCTACTGGAGCTGTGTATGGTGATGATTAGTCAGAGGAAAACTACTGGACTGGAAACGAACCCTGTGGCTGCCACCCCTCACCCCTGGTACCTAATATTAAGACTGCTTCACTATGATAGATCACGCGGATTTGCTTTGCTAGGACATCAATGTTTGTGAATAAACTACAGTATTTCCATTTTCAGCAAACGGAAGATAACGAAAAAGATGAACAGCGTTGACATCAGCGAACCACAAGACTTCAAGCACATATTCCACTACCCCAACTCAGGAATGGATGATTCCAGTGAGGACACGAAGAAATATGTCAAGGTTGGTTCATATCCCCCCCCCCCCCTCTTTTCCATTTCGTGACAGATAAACCGATTGACTTCGAACATAAAGTATATTTGGGGGAAAGATGATGAACTTGTAAGCTTTTTCCTCCAACTTTAGAACTGTTAAAATTCAGTTGAAATTAACTACTTCCAGAAATTTACCAACACGTTTCATTCATTTTTTTTCTATCAAATAATTTTCCAATTAATAATTCTTCATTTTTTGTCGGATAAATCATATTTAATTTTGGAAACAAAAAATGCACAAACATAATTTTTATAAATGCGTTTCAACGGAATAATATCAGATAGAGATCAAAACACGATCAAAATTCCTGGTAGTAACCCGTCTCTGGTCACTCCGTACAAATGGATTTGATAAAACCACTGAACAAAAACATGGTATATTGTAATGGTACGTGACACAGCTGATCCACTCTCTATGAGAATTATGGGGGTAAATCTGAACGGGCCTGACGTGGACATTTCAGGATAAGAATATTAATGTTAATTGAGAACATTTTACAACTTTTTTGTAAGCAAATAATCATGCAGGGTAGCAATAATTTCTGTTAGTCTAAGTTCAATGTCTAACACTATCCTCCGGTGTTCCAGCAGCTCTCAGCGGACCTACCACATATTAAATTCGCAGAAGTCCAGTAAGAAACTGTAATAAAGATTGGAATCGATGAGCTGTTTTACTTTCCTGATATCCTCGTCATTGAGCTTGTCATTCTTCCTGTCCTCAAAGTTTCCTGTTTCTTCGTATTCCGTCTCGCTAACTGTTACAATTTCAACGTGGCTTTTGTGCTGTTTTGGTTCCGAGGGCCCAGATGGTTGTGGTTCAATAGACCCAGACTGCTGCGATTCGTTGTTTTCATGTGGTTGTGGATCGTAGGGCCCAGGTAGATCCATCCCACGCTTACCTCCACCAGGACCACCCATGCCGCCACCACCAGGACCATCCTTGCCGTCACCACCACCAGGACCATCCTTGCCGCCACCACCAACAGGACCATCCTTGCCGCCACCACCAACAGGACCACCCTTGCCGCCACCACCAACAGGACCACCAGGACCATCCTTGCCGCCACCACCAACAGGACCACCCTTGCCGCCACCACCAACAGGACCACCCTTGCCGCCACCACCAACAGGACCATTCTTGCCGCCACCACCAACAGGACCACCCTTGCCGCCACTACCAACAGGACCACCAGGACCACCCTTGCCGCTACCACCACCAGGACCATCCTTGCCGCCACCACCAACAGGACCACCCTTGCCGCCACCACCCCCGTGACCACCTTTTGCTTGACGCTTGGCCCTGACGTCTTGTCGAGCAGATCTTCGTTTGAAGTTATGGTGGTCATACCAATCATCCTCGTTGTCATCTTCCTTGACATTTTCATATGAGGTCGAGTAGCCATCATTGTTATCGTGGTCATCATCTTCCTTGGCATTTTCATGTGAGATCGAGTAGCCATCATTGTTATCGTGGTCATCATCTTCCTCGGCATTTTCATGTAAGGTTGAGTAGCCATCATTGTTATCGTGGTCATCATCTTCCTCGGCATTTTCATGTGAGGTCGAGTAGCCATCATTGTTATCGTGGTCATCATCTTCCTTGGCATTTTCATGTGAGGTCGAGTAGCCATCATTGTTATCGTGGTCATCATCTTCCTTGGCATTTTCATGTGAGGTCGAGTAGCCATCATTGATATCGTGGTCATCATCTTCCTTGGCATTTTCATGTGAGGTCGAGTAGCCATCATTGATATCGTGGTCAACATCTTCCTTGGCATTTTCATGTGAGGTCGAGTAGCCATCATTGTTATCGTGGTCATCATCTTCCTTGGCATTTTCATGTGAGGTCGAGTAGCCACCATTGTTGTACTTATCCTGATCGTCATTTCCCTTCCATGTACTCCAATCAATATATTCAAGATCGTAATCATTAAGACCGTTCAGTAAATCGGAAGGGTTATAGTTATCCTTCCACTCTCCCGAACTATCACCTAAACCATAACCGTAATCTTTATCGTTATAATCCCACTCTCCTGAACTGTCACCCAAACCATAACCGTAATCTTTATCGTTATAATCCCACTCTCCTGAACTGTCACCTAAACCATAACCGTAATCTTTATCGTTATAATCCCACTCTCCTGAACTGTCACCTAAACCATAACCGTAATCTTTATCGTTATACTCCAACTCTCCTGAACTGTCACCTAAACCATAACCGTAATCGTTATCGTTATACTCCAACTCTCCTGAACTATCACCGTAACCATCACCGTAATCGTAATCGTTATTCTCCCACTCTCCTGAACTATCACCTAAACCATAACCGTAATCTTTATCGTTATAATCCCACTCTCCTGAACTGTCACCTAAACCATAACCGTAATCTTTATCGTTATCCTCCCACTCTCCTGAACTGTCACCTAAACCATAACCGTAATCTTTATCGTTATCCTCCCACTCTCCTGAACTATCACCTAAACCATCACCGTAATCTTTATCGTTATACTCCAACTCTCCTGAACTATCACCGTAACCATAACCGTAATCGTTATCGTTATACTCCCACTCTCGTGAACTATCACTAGAAGCACTCATGTCGTAAATATCACCAGAACCACTCATGCCGTAACCACCGCTGTGAGGGTTATTGATATACTCCAACTCTCCAGAACTATCATCGGCCTCATATGTGATCCGATCATCATGCTCCTCTCCACTTGCATCGGTATTATCTCCTTGGTAATCGCCTGAACTATCATCAGAGTCTTCACTAGTAAACTTGTCCCATTTCTCTCTCCATTTTGGCCGATCTTCTTCTCCCTTGCCTTTCCTCTTGATTTCGTTTAATTCCCGGTAGTTCCTATCCATGATTTTTTGCAACATTCTGGGTGCTTCCAATTCCCTTAGTGCAGAACACGCCCATTTAGAGTCTTTGATCAAATCACGGGATGCTGTAAGGACTTCCATTAGTTCCTTCAGTTCTCCGATAAAGTCTTCAGATTGAGCTGCGGGTGAAGGTTGATTGTACCAAATTTCTTTCATAACGTACTCCTTGTCATTCATTGGCTCTTTCACAGATGTAGAGTTTATAGCATGTTTTTTCTCGTTAATGTCAGCGCCAGCTTGATTGCTTTCCTCAAAAGAAGGTTCATTTTCTATCATATCTGGACTGAGATCTATTGCTTCATCCTCAACAGAAGGTTTATTTTCTATCATATCTGGACTGAGATCTATTACTTCATCCTCAACAGAAGGTTTATTTTCTATCATATCTATAGCTTCATCCTCCATCGCAATCGCAATCGCTCTCATACCTTTCCCCGGTCCCCCTCCATTTTCTACTTGTGGTTTGGGCCCAGATGGCTGGGTTTTAGACCCAGATGGATTGGTATCTATAGCTTTCTCTTTTATGCCCTTCTCCGGCCCCCCTACATTTTTAACTCCACCGTTTTGCTTTTCTCCTCCTACGACTGTTTGTTCCCCACGTTTTATGCCACCTACTTCACTTGCACCGCCTTTTGATCCTCCAGCGTTCAATTTGGCCTCTTGCGCAGTGTTTTCTGGTTTGCTCACATTTCGGTTTCTGTTTTTATTTTTTCCACTATTTTTCCCATTATTTCCTTGTTTTTTGGGGTTCTTCTTCGGTATCTCAACTTCCTCTGGGCTTCTTCGGTTTCTCAGCTTCTTCCTCAGTTCCTGGTCAGGGGCGGGTTTAGCATCAAGATAATACAGCAAGATGAGGAGTATAATGAGGAGGTAAAGACTGCATCTCCCTGCCATCCTGAAATATTTTCTTACTAGTTTATCTTGGTTACCCCTCACCACGAAGAGGAAACCCTATTTAATAATAAGAATAATTGCAAATAATCAAGTTAAGAGATTAAAATGGAAAATAAATGCTCTCAATTGCCATAGTTTATTTACAATTTATGAAGAAAAAGGCTGAAAATAAGCATTTTATGGGGCTGAAATTATATTTTTAAATGCTCGGAAATAATTTTTTCGGAGTAACGATTGCATATTTATGACCAACATTAGCAATTCTTCAAAATTAAAATGGAGCGTCAAAGTTTTATCTCAGAAAATGAGATCGGTTCAAAAAATAAAAGAGTCTGAAACGTGTTAAGCATTAAGGATCCATTGGATTATCATTTTACTTGGTGGACAAAAAAGAAGCTGTCAACCGCTTTGTTAACCAAATTCATGGCGAAAATTGCAGCGAATGTAAATATGCAGTTCTCTGAACGAAGAAAATGAGTCGACACGATTGAAAATTTTCAAATTTGAATGGCGCATTTTAATATACATTTACTTAAATAGGCATTTACTTAAATAGATATTGACTTGAATGGATATTCACTTAAATTGATATTTTTATTTTACTTAAATGGATATTTACGTACTAATGGTTCAGATCAATTTTGCTCATTTCCCTTAACTGATTTGTAATATTTTGGCATGCTGATGGTTCGATCAACTGATACACTTCACCATGAGGTGACGTCACACCGCTTTTATCTATTAACCAGCTATTGTAACCTTAAAGAGAGAGAATAAAGGATAAAACCTACTAATTTGTTTGGGCCATTAAGTGAATGAAAATCATGACAATTTTCAAAATAATCAATATAATCTGACGTAGAATATCCATTTTGTGCAGCCATCACCCGACATCGACACTTATTCATCAAGTATTGAAAGTATTTAAGAATTATTGATTCAATTCGTCTCTAATTTGTTTCAACAATAATAATGAATTCCCTAGTTACCACGCTCCTAGTTACCACCTCCCTGGTACTGATACTGAGTTATCGCTCAGTGAGGTGATACCGCACATGTTGTCTGTGGTCATTGCTGCAATGCTGGAAAATGATTGTCAATCATCGAACCGTGTCAAAGTTCTCTTGATAAACCTATATGGACAGTGGAATTAGTAAAGAATAATAACGTAAAAATACTACTGCTACCACTGTACGTCACTTCTGTCACGGCAAATTCAGTGGACGCCTCACACTTCAGGACTGTCTACACATTGTTCTGGATGACAGAGCCGTGTCTCCAACAGCAACGCTAAACTCACGTCGTCGCTGGAGCAACACCCCCTCCGTACCCAAGACGCCCCGAACTGCCATCATGAGACGACGTGCGAGACGGGGAGTGGAGATATTCGCACGGAAGTGCAAGTCTCATGGGGATGAAATCAATAAACTTGCAGTGAGAAATAAGTGTGTGTGTGGGGGTTGCAGTGTGAAGTGTGTGTCGGTGTAACTGTTGGGGGGGGGGGGCAATATTTTATCTGTCGACATTTTGTACCCCAACCTCCGCTTACCCTTATTTCTTATCACCCTGACACCAACCCTGACACCAACCCCACGGGGCCCCGATCCTAACCCAAAATCCAGGGTCAAAAAGGCAAGGTCTTAAAGTTAAATGCCGGCCCTAGTGAAGCAATGTGCAAATTCTTCCAGGGATGTTCGAGTACTCTAGTGCGATCATGACTCACTTTTTAGGGTTGAAATTGTGAGGGTTTGATCAGGAGAAAAGTTGTGTAAGCTGAACTTTAACGATGAAAATTATAGTGAAGCGCACTAAAAGACATGTGATAGTGTATGTAAAAAACAGAAAGGCTTCAATTTAAATCAAATCATTTGTCAAATAAATTAACAAAGTATACCACGTTTTAGCAGGTAAAACTGTATCATAATCTGAAGCACATTTCTGGGTTTTTATATGTTATTCTTTAATTTCCCCGTTGTTTTATTAGCATATATTTTAAGTATTAGAGTGTATTTAGAGTATTTTTAGAGTATATTTTAAGTATATCTGGAGTAAGTTTAGAGTATATTTTAAGTATATCTGGAGTAAGTTTAAAGTATATTTTAAGTATATCTGGAGTAAGTTTAGAGTATATTTTAAGTATATCTGGAGTAAGTTTAGAGTATGTTTTAAGTATATCTGGAGTAAGTTTAGAGTATATTTTAAGTCACCTTTAAAAAATACTCCCTGAGTCCCATGAGTACTTGGGGGATTAAAACGCGAACGCTTTAATTTAGAATTTACCTGTATCATCATTACCTGTGTAAAGCGCTCACACACTCAGGTCTCAGATAAAAACACGGTATTGAATTAATAAAATTTAACTCTTTTTCCATTATTTGGCCCCAAGACTGTAAGTTTTGCGAAACAACGACCAAATATTAATAACTTGTCAAACACACCGTATCCATCCATTTAACAAAGTGATAGAAACTGTTATCATGGTCTCATGTTTGAAATATTATCATTACGATATAAACTATAAAAAGTTAAAGTGTATTCCATCAGGCATCTAATGATAGTATAGCAATATTCCTGATATATAGCAAGATTCCTGACAGTAAACTCAAAATCCAGACCAGTAACCGGGCCAATGATCAGTGCACCTTATTTTGGCCTCCAATTATATGTGGCAATTTTATTTCCCCTTTGCATATTTGCTGGCAAAACAAGCCTCGATTTCCTTGTTTCTCCGTTCCAGTAACACGTGACTAACAATATCACGTGACTAACAAAACATCTTTAACTCAGCTGTTACTGGAAGAAACAACGGCACTGCGCAGTAATGTGGGTACACATGACCCAGTCAGGGGGTGGTCTGTTGCTGCTAATCCTACCGTTAACAACAAGGACCCTGCTTCAACTTCTCATGAATATCAGTTAGTTTCACTTTCACATTTACTTTACCCTTCAATAAAGTGTTGCTAATCCTACCGTAAACAGCAAAGTCCCTAATTCAACTTCTTATCTCGTGAATGTCTGTTAGTATTGTTCAGCGCTTGTTTCGTTTTTAAGTTAGCTTTAGCTCTGATCTTTCACTTTCTAATTTATTTTATTTTCACTCCATCACTTGCAGACGGAGGTACAGTGAGAAGTATGGTCCAGAGAAACACTCCGTCTTCGCTCGGAGGAAGAAACCAAGCACTGACTCTTCAAACTCTGAAGGGAAGAAGAACAGTAAACGCAAGTGTGTTACCTTTTAATTTCATATTTTGGTTGCCTTTTTGTATCCCAAATCCTTCAGCCTGGCCGTTCAGTTCACTATAAGTCAATAACTTTATCTTTAATGCTTGTTATTTTAAATGATATTACACAACCATTACCTTGATATGAGAATAAAGGCTAATATGTAGAGGAGTCTAGCCGCATTTTTGTCCGTTTGTCAATTTTTGTCCAAGACGACCAGATTTTGGCCAAATAGACATGGACAACAATGAACAACAATGGACAACAATGGACAACAATGGGGTTGGAGTGTTGGACTATGTATGAATATTGTATATACGAATGTTTCTAATTTTCAGTTTAATCTGTTATCAATGAATTTGAAACTGCATATAATACACTCACTATCGGTAACCAATTACTTGTTCCCTCAGACACAATTACTCTGCGAGTAATAGCGGTGAAGATGGTGTCAGAAATCTTACTCCAGGTCAGTTCTTTCACTTTCTCTTTCACTTTCACTTCTTAGCAAGTATGTTTTTCTCTGTCACTTGTTTCTTCCACTTTGAATTAATTTCAACTTTTAATGTCATAGTTAAATTTTACTATCATAAATTTAGACTCTCGTGACTGTCACGCATAACATGATTTATATGACCGTTACCATGGTAACATGACTGACATGACTGTTACCATGATTACCGTGACTTATTTTAGCTAAGTTGTCGGGCCGGAGAAGACGGTTCCGTAAGTCAGTGACTTCTCCGACAGTTTCTTACGTTTCTTATACTGACGGACAAGATGTGGAGAAAATGTACATTACTGAGGGTGAGAATAATGATGCAGTATTCTTTACGCGCATTGCATAAATGAGTTCCAGGTCACGGAATTGTTTTCATCTGTTTATAATTGTAACACACTTCTTACAAACACTAAAATAACCAACACTACGAAACTGACTTACACAGGAACTTACGTAACTTACAAAGGAACTGACGGCACTGACACAGATCACGATATTAACATGAGGTTCTCATCAAATCTCTTCAAGACTCTCAGTAGCTTGGGTAACTACCATCACAATAACTGTTACCATGGTAACTACCATCACAACCACTGTTACCATGGTAACTACCATCACAACCACTGTTACAACTTGCTGACAATTACTCTTACTGTTACCATGATAACATAACACTGTTTATTTTGGCCCACCTGTATTATTTGGTTCTAAAAGTTCTAACAAACACGATTCCCCAGAACCGGAGGAGAAATCTGTGAATGTAGCGAAGTTCTTTGATTTCTCCAAGTTAACGAGAAGGGGCAGCGGGGGAACGTCCAGATCCCAGTTTTACTACGACTCAGCAGAGGTGAGTGTTGCTACTGGTGACGAAGCGTTGCACGTGCGTTTTGAGGTCACGTGACATCGATTCTGCAATCTGATTGGTTTTATCCTTGTCACGTGTTAAATCAAGCGTGTTGCAATGTCTGCCCAATGTCTGAAAATGTTTCTGAATATGGACTGTGTCCGACTTATTTAAAGTTCACTCGATTGTGGTGTGAAAAGTGGAAGCTATTGTGTGAATTTTCTTTTAAATTCTAGGATAAATCGAGTATGTTTGTGAGAAGGGGCAGGACAGCAACGGTGAGTTAACGATCAAACCATCCCAATGATTCCACATTTTTCAAATGCCCGACTTGAGTGATTTTTGAATTGACATTTCCAAAAAAATAACCGTGGCTCTTCTTCGAGAAAGAAGCTTCAGTCACTTAGACGGAAATTTCAATTCAGAGAACTTCAATGGTTGTAAATTGAACTTCTTCAAACTTCCTGATTTCCTTGGTTCTAGGGTCGAGTCAGTGAGGGCATAGCGCATGTTCGGTGAGGTTGCATTTTTGTGGGTCTTCTTTTTATCAAGCATTTTTCACTCAAATTAGTGTGTGACTGTGCACGTGTGTGACTGTGAACGATGTTGCACGCGTCAATGCTTTTGCAAATAGCACCTGTGATTGTTTGTGTGCCCTGCTAAAACCGAAACCATCATCTAATCCTTTCCAGTAATAATCCCCCACTAAAAGTGTGTGTATTTTGCTAAAGATCGTGTGTGTTTATTTTGCATGAAAAAGTGAACGGAGATTTCAACAGTTAACTGTTTTTAGTGCGTTTAAGAAAAATGAGCCGAGCAATAAGCTTTATTTGGCGTAATAATCGCTGATTAATCTTAGTCTGAGTGTACGCATGATAGCATTATAATTAGTTAATACTTCCTCTTTAACTAACCTACTCTCCCCAGATCCCCAACCTGGAGCTGAACGTGCCCCAGGATCCCAACTACGAGCCAGAGGACACCCCCACCTCCACCCCCTCCTCCTCCACCCCCAAGAAGGGGCACCGCCGCAGTAAGTCCTGGGGCCTGCCCACGCCCCCGGCTCTCCCGCCCACGGAGGAACAAGAAGACCCGCTCTCCAACCAAATAAATACATCGGCCCCAGCTCCAGCTCCTGCCGCTTCAACTCCCACGTCCTCAAAGATATTCCCCAAGTTCCCCAGCTTCGGCAAGGGCAAGAAGAAAAAGAAGAAAGGTCACAATAGGTCGTTGTCCTGGGGGGCGAACAAGGAGCCAGAAGTGGTAACCAACCCCCCGCCCCACGATAACGGCACAGAGTCATCTACTGGCACCGAGCCAACAACCCAGACCACCCAGCAGACTCCCAATCTGGACTCAGGAGTGTACAGTTCACATTACGATTCAGGGGGCTCCGTATCCCCGGAGAGTAATGGTCAGGTGGGTAACTGCTCCGTCTCTATCACACCTCCTACCCCGGAGAAAGTCAACAAAAACAGTCCCTCCTCCGTCGCCAAGAGCAAGAAAAAGAGTTGATAGAAGATCTGTTTAGAGAATGTGTTCACAAGATATGTTGCTATGGTAACTACAATCCAGCCCACTGTGGTGTGAAGTGTAACCATGGTATCAGACTACCAGTCTTAAGGGTGGATCACCATGGTAACGGTGTAATGTTACAGCCGAGAACTGGTATTTTACAGAGCTGAGAAAGGAATACAGCGGGTTGGAACAAACGAATAAAGTGTCTCAAAGTGTTACCTTCACTGATATTAGAGAATCGCTTTTTGAAGATGAGTAAGGAGGTTTAAGTTTCAACTTGCTGTAGTACAGAGAGGGGGTAATCTTAGCATGGGTCTTTCCCAAAGTTTCTTGGATGGTTTTCAATAAAATCGTTATAGCGGGTGGGAAACCTGAAAAGTCGGTGACATAATCCAAAATTTTGAATGAACTTTTTGTAAAAGAGCGGTCTGTTGTTGCTGTTTTATCTATCATCTCAAAAATTTGTAATCTTTTGTAAAAATGTTAAATCAAGAGGATTAGTGGTTGTTATGATACAAATTCTATCAACTGGGATTAAAATTAAGTGATGTGGTAAGATTCAAGTAGATTAAGTTTGTGATTGAATGCTTTGATTTTTGAACAGATTATTTCTGCACTAATTTTGTCATTCAAAATATAGAGATATCGAGATACAAGTTTGAGTTGTGTATATTACAATATATTATAATTAAATTACATATTATAATTAAATTATTGAATTAAAGGGTCAAGCTTAATACTGAGTTTTGTTTACTGAGTGATATTTTACTGTCGTTTCTCTCTCTCTCTCTTCAATCCTGCATACTCCAGTTATTTAAAGATAGAGCTATTATTTCAAACCTTGTCGTGCAATTCGTATTTTTTTTCGTGAAATAGAATTGGCAATTCATTGTAAAATTTTCGAATTATACATCATAAATTGCGAATTTTTTGCATTATCTTTTGCGAATTGCATGGTTCACAAGGTGACATTGTATTTTCCTGCTCAATATTTAGCAAGCCTTATTAAAAAACGCAACAGATCTATAAAAACAACTAAATCTTTTCTTTTCCGCTGGTAATGGAAACATGATCGCGATATCAATAATTTTTGGCAGCGGTCGTATAGTTGTTTCTTCATACCCTGAATTGGATAACCTAGTTTGATTACCTTGGCAACGCTTGTAAACAGCCTGTTTCGTTTTCTAACCCATTCTCAAAGTTTAAAATGTAAGCTCAAATGTTAGGTGATGTATGCTTCTGTTTAATCTGTATGGTTACTTTGTACTTTTGGCCTGGCTTTATCCAGAGATTATGATGTTTCACTTTGCCAAGTCCCAGAATAGCGCTATCTATCAAATGATGTAAAGTTTTTTTGTTAAAATATGATATTCTGAACTTGCTCAGTTCGCTTCTAGATTGGTTCATTGTTAAGATATGTTGGTTTCTTCGTGGTACAAGTTCGATAAAGATTTCTGATGATTTCGTATTTCGTATTATTAACTGTTCCACCAGCAACAGTCTCATTGAATTCTTCTTTTTATTTGTTGTTTGGGAAAATCAATTTGTTCCAAGATACCAAATTTAAATCAAGTAGAGCAATTCAAATTTGCGGGTGAATGTACAGGGGCGACCAAATTATTATGCAAAACAAACCGAACCAAACCGAATCTCTCAAAGATTTAATCTCTGCCCTCTGGTCGCGTCTCCAGATCAAAGATATCAAAGGTAAGGTATCTAACATCCAAGACTAGCGAGACATAGGATTTATTAATTAGTCATTGACATTGACTTCAAGGGACTATAGTCACGTGATGGACCGAATGTTTTACCCCTACCCTTAGGGGTCGTTCACATATTACGTAATCAATATTTTGGCAATTTTTACCCCCCCCCCCTCCGTACTTGTACTTGTACTTGAAAAGGTCTCCTCCTAGTCGTTGGAGTGGCCTGCACCACATAGTAACTCCTTTCTCCGGTGTATTAGACCTCTCCAGTGAACCCTGTCTGTAGCTTGTTGTTCTGCATCTTCTATCGTGATGTTATCGACACCTGTGAAGATTGCTGCATCCTCCCGGACACATGACAACCAGTTTTTCCTAGGTCTACCTCTCGACCTTTTACCATGCTTTGGGATCCAGTGCAGAAGATAGTTGGGTATTCTTTCTTCTGGCATCCTCACCACATGGCCAAACCATCGGAGTCTAGCTGCTCGTACGAAAGTATCAACAGGGGCGATGTTAGCCCGCTTAAGTACATCAGCATTAGATACATGATAAAACCATTTTATTTTCAGGATTCTCCTCAGACATCTATGATGGAACACCTCAAATCTTTTCATCTGCGTCTGTGTGGTATTCCATACCTCACTTCCATAAAGCAGTATAGTGAGAACAGCCGCTTTGTAAATCCTGATTTTAGTTGGAGTCTTGATGTTGCGACTGTACCATATACTGCTGAGCTGATAGAATGCCCCAGAGGCCTTTTGAATTCGAGCTGACAGTTCTTTGTCAATTGTTCCATTCGCACTGATGATTGCACCCAAGTAAGTGAAATTGCTGACCTGCTGTATTGGGAGACCTTCCACATTGATGTCCATAGTGTCGTCTTTAGAATACGGCCTCTGCGATGCACTTTTGCTGACAACCATGCTCTGTGTTTTGCCAGCATTAATCTTCAGACCCGCATAGGCACTGTATTTGCAGAGAAGGTCAGTGGTTTCCTGCAGCCCCTCTTTTGAGTTATCTAACATGGCCATGTCATCAGCGTAATCAGTGTCCAAAAGATGTTTCTCTTCTACCCCGGGGGCTGGCAGCTGCAATAAAGCCCCTTTGCTAATGACCTTGTTCAGTTCCATAAGGTATGCCGAAAAATTCAAACAAAAGTTGAAGACTGGTGGTCCCTGTATATCACCTTGCCCAGTACCCGAGTTGACATCAAACCAACCAGTGACCTCTCCATTGACCCTAACAGCACTAACTGTGTGAGTGAAGAACGCCTTCATAATTCTAATGTACTTGTCAGGTAAGCCGTAGTGCTGCATACTTCTCCAAATGAACTGCCTGTCAATTGAATCAAAAGCTGCTTTGAAATCAACAAAATTAATATACAGAGGGATATTATACTCAATGCATTGGTGTATAATACAGCGGAGTGAATAAACCTGGTCAATACATGAGCGATTCTGTCTAAAACCACTTTGATTCTCCCGGAGGAATTTTTCCATGCCATTGCTAAGTCTCCGCAGGAGTATCATCTGCAGGAGCTTCGAGGCTGTAGATCTTAATGTAATGCCTCTGTTGTTAGCGCAATGAGAGGTGTCACCTTTCTTCCCACACTTTCTTGAACAACACAACTAGTTGATCGACCAACCCATCCTGTCCATACTTAAGTTGCTCGTTGGTGATACCATCCACTCCTGGACTTTTGTGATTCTTGAGTTTTTTGAGGGCATCAACAATCTCGTTTCTTGTAGGAGCTTCATCCGAGTCGGAAAGGTCGTCAAAACTGGGTTGCGGAGGGATGTTGTCTAGGTCAGAAATATTGGCCTCTTGCGGGGGAGGGTTCAATAGCCTAGAGAAGTGCTCTTTCCACCTTTCTTTCTGGGCATGTGGGTCGGCAATCAACTGGCCAGATACGTCTCTAACTGCAGTTGACTGCTTCTTCTTCTTTCCAGATATGACATTGATCTTCTGCCATACCTCACGTTGCTGACCTTTTCTAGCAGCTTCTTCCAAGTCATTGGCCATTCTACGTGCCCAGTTGTTATCGTCCACCTTGCTACTTTTTTTAAAGAGCTTATTCAATCTAGAATACTCTGATCTGTTAGCGTTTGAATTAGGGTCTTTACGCTTAAATTCCTTACGGTTCTTCAATAATTCTTTTGTCTTCTGAGATTGGTGCCTGTCCTTCTTTTTTCGAGGTCTTTGCCCAAGGATTTCTATGGAAACTTGTTGGACAGTTGTCTTGAAGTTGTCCCACATTGATTCCAGGTCAACCTCAGGTTCCAAACAGTCAAATTTGTTTCTCAGAACAATATTGTATTCGGAAACAAGTGAATGATCACGCAGATGCTCAATAGCAGGAATCTCAAGCTTACGTTCCTGCTTCTTTTTCACTGACATAAGCTTCATTCTCAGTCGTGCTCTTACCAAATAGTGATCAGACCCAATGTCAGCCCCCCTACAAACTTTTACATTTAGCAAAGAGCCTCCAAACTTCTTACTGATACAGATGTGGTCTATTTGGTTTACAGTACGACCATCAGGTGATCTCCACGTACCTTTATGTATATCCTTTTGCTGAAACATAGTGCCACCGATGGTAAGTTGGTGGGCAATGCAAAAGTCCAACAATCGGGTACCATTGTCATTTGATGAGCTGTGAAGCGAATGTCCACCAATGACACCTGACATAGAACTGCAGTCCGATGTGACCTTAGCATTAAGATCACCGAGCAGTAATTTTAAATCATGTCGGGGTAGCTCATCGAATGCACTTGACAACTGCTGGTAGAATTCATCCTTATCATTATCTGAAGCCCCCTCAGTTGGCGCATATGCCACAACAACAGAGATGTTCAGGTGTTGACTATGCAGCCTTGCACTCAACAAACGGTCAGATATTGGTAGATAGGAAATTAATGAATTTTTAGTCCTCTTTGAAAGGGTAAGACCGACACCTCGCCTTCTAATACCGTCCGTCCTCCCTGAATAAATAAGTAAGGAGCCATTATCCAGTAGCTCTGATCCTGTACCAGGCATATGGGTCTCAGTTATACCCAGCAAGTCCAACTTATACTCAGAGATATTCTCTGATAGCTGGAACAACTGACTTGAACTACTTGTCAGAGATAATACATTCCATATCCCAAATGTAAGACCTGTTTTAGAATAATTCGCTGGCCCCCCTCCGTAATCAACCCTAATCAAGACCGAACCCCCCCCCCCCCTATATTACGTAATCAAGGTTTGACCCCCGACCCCCCCCCCCCCCCCCCCCCCCCCGTAATCAATATTGTGTAATTTTGTCGTTGATTTAATTTTATTACTATTAATAAAACAAATATTTTAATAAAACAAATATTTGTTTTTACGGCACAATCAAACAATATCAATAATAAATAAATCAGGGGAGGTTTGAAGAGGTTTCAAGTGCCGAAGGCCACTGCTTATCTTTAGGATTTGAGAGTGACCTGTGCTTGAAACCCCATCAACCATTTACTACGTCAATATACTTTAACTTATTATACAAATATAGAAAAATATAATAATCTAAAATTACTTATTGGTTTAGTTTGGTGACACAGGAGAGCCCAGTTGAGTTTTAGTTTAGGTTTAGGTTTTAAATCATAGTTTAAAAGGTTAGCCATGTTTCATGGCTGAGAGAGATATCATGTGTGCAGAGCCGTACCGGATGTAGAATTTGAGATATAATATAGATTAGTTACCATGTTAGGGACATCTCGATTTTGGAGGGATAGCAAGTGCTTTTTAAGGTTAGATTTAACAATACCTGACGAGGCTGATAAGTCTGAATTCTTGGAAGAACCCGGGATTATTATCCCATCTTCATTAGCATCACATATTTCGAATACATACGGGCTGAGGTCATTCCAAATTTTCGTAGAGGTGTACAAAAAGTTCTGTTGGGAGATATCTAACCTCAGTACTGATTTAATTTTATTACTGATTTAATTTTATTACTGATTTAATTTTAAAACTATCTATTACATGTTCATGTTAAGCCATTTATTTATTAAAAGCTATCACAACGGATTAATGAATGAAATAATCGCAAAGCACTTACTAAACGAAAATTGGTTTAAAAAACGAAAATGTTGATTACATAAGTAACGAAAATTGTCCAATTGG